GAAACTAACAATTCTGCAAATACAGACAAAACCGCACACCCGCAAACGAAAAAAAAAAAAGGAAAATAGAATGCGAGACAGAGGGGGAGTAGAACAGGGGAGTCCTCCACACCCATAATAGGGCGTGGGAAATTCGGAGGGGGAAAAGTGGAGAGGGAAAAACTTTGTCTTGCTCATTCGCGGGCCAAGATGAAACTTTATTTCAACATGGCAGAGAGCTACAGCCATCGAATTTATTTTCATGTCAGAATATAACGCTCTTCCCCTCGTTGGTCTCTGAAATCTAGGAAACGCTCTTTTAAGTTAGTCTCATTTAGGATTGGCGTTAAATTGGCAAAAGGCGATGGCTAAGCAAATAATGAACTTGCTAATTTCGCTGGCATAATTGGGCAAGCGGTTGGGCGCTTGCAACGCGGCGTATGAGCAATGTTCCGGCATAAATTACGTATACGCAGCGTTGCACATCTTAGGAATCTTAAAGCCTCGCCGAGTGGCCGCATAATACAAGGACGAACGAACAGGCAATGGGAGCAACAAGCGGCTGAGCTCCAAAGAGGCTAAGCTCTAATTTTCTCACGTACTTGTAAATTTTGCGGAAAACCGCAACAAATTCACTTATAAAAGTAATCTAGAAAGCGCGTACACGACCGGAAGCACGAAAAGGCGCGCCAAAGTACGGAAAACATGGTAAAAATGCTACCAAAGGGGGTCAGGACCGGGGCCCGGTGAAGGGAATTCTAAAAACCAAGCCGTTGGGGAGCAGGGGGAAAAAAAAGGAAACAAAAACGCGCACAAACTCGTCCTTATCCTCGTCCTTGCTGTAGTCGTGTAAAGAATTGCGTTTGTCGCGACACGGCGACAACTTTTGCTACCCAGGACGAAGGCTTAGAGGAGGGGGGACTGGAGGCAAAAAAGCCTGGCAAAAAAGACTTGGCTTAAAGCACCCCTCACTTTATCAAAGATTTAAAAACGAAATGAATGTAAGCACATTAAATGACTTGGACTTGGGACTTCCCATTAAAGGTTCATAGCCAAGGACTAGAAAAGATTTCACCCTCGGGGCTGAAATATGGATCGAGGGAGGGAGCAGCTTGTTTGGCTTGTAGGTCGAATGGAAAAGTTTCAAATGCAAAGTTAGTTTATGGAAAAAACAAAAAAGGATTTAATTGGCGAGCAATTTGTAGGGCGGTTAAGAACAAGACAAGTTGCTCTTATCATTTTGTTTAATTTTCGAGCCTTCTGGGAAGACGATGGGTTTCTAGAATCATAATTCCTGGAATACCAGGGATGTTTCAGCAATTCTTTAAAGGGATTAACTTCTTATAGAATATCTTGGTTATTTTCTAGGAGAAATAATATAATTTTCAGTTAGTGCTATATGCACTTTAATTTATATTTAAAATTTGTTTAAAAGTTTAAGCTCATATCTGCCAAGTAGTTACATGTTTTGTCTTAAAACTTTGAGCCTCTTATCATGACTATAAGAACTTACACAATGGCATTTATTGTGGTTCTCTTTGTGTGGAATACTACTGTTTTTTTTTTGTGTTTAAGTACTACTGGAAAATCTTCTACAAATGAATATTAAATAACCTGATAAAGTTCCCCCAAAGTCCGACCGCGAAATTTTCGCCAATCCCCAGAGGCTACATCCGCAATTAGAAAAACAACTTTTTTGCGCTGTTCAACATTCGTTAAAAGCGTTCAAAGTCTGCAAGTCGGTCGCAACAAATCCAATTTTCGGCTGTAAGGCGATGAAAAAAAAGTTAAATTATCACGAAGAGGGAAGAAAATAAATTGTTGGCTTGGTAAAAAGTTGGCTGGCAACAAGGACAATGCCAGGATAGGCCAAGCCAAGCCCAACTCATCCTGCCCTGCCAAAGGAGTTCATTGTTCAACATTACACCCCTCGAGCTATGTGTCACAAATTTTAGAGAAGCGAGTCCTTCAGTGTTATTGGGGAAAGTTTTGGGCGATGCTTTTAATAAACTTTTACTTGGCATTTGCCATTTGGCATTTATGCAAATTGCAAACACACCCAAATATTGAACGGAAACGGTGCCCCAGCCCCAATAACAACAAATTTCAATTATGCCATCAAATCTATTTAGGTGTGTAAATATTTTGGAATTCTGTGCCCCCTGCCAGTGCCACTGCCCCAGCCACTCCGGAATTGTGGCGTGTAATATACAGATTTTCTTGTTAAGATTGTGGCCAAAGTTTCGCCGACATTGTTCGTAGTTTCTGGCCCACCAGCTGGCCATAATTGGCCCACCAGCGTGAAGAGTCAATAAGCGGCAAGTGGAATGGGCCAAGTTGCACATAAATTTGCCCCTTGAATATTTTACAAACTCATTGTTGCTGCTTGGTGCTTGTTGTTTGCATTGTGGCGGCATTAAATTTTGCCTGATTTGATTTCGGTTCAATTATATATACGTTTCAAGTCGAAATAAGCTCTTTCCTCGAGAGACTCTTTCAAGTTCATTAACGAAATAAGCCTGCCACTCGAAAACGGGCCATGGCCAAAACAAAATGTGGCCAACTTACAGGCGTCGCATTCATCGACTCGAATTAATCAATTATGCTTGCGTGTGTGCTTCTGGGCGGGTATTTGTACATTCAGGCCATTTTGTTAATTAATAAAAACGTTAACAATGAACGAGGGTCCTTGTTGTTATTTTGCTATTTACCTTGAAGCGATTTTGTTATTGAAAAAGCCTTCAATTAAATTAACCAAAGCCAACTAGGGGCAGTATTATTCTTCGATATTTGAGTAATATCTATTACCGAATAAAATGAAACGAATTTAATCCCCATTGGTATTGAAAAGCATCTTATCATTGAAACCTAAGCCCGGTCGACTAACTTAATATCCGGCCAGATGTGTATTGTTGTCCCTAAGTACCATATCTCTTTTGTGCACTCCAAATCGCTTTTTCCACTCAAAGAAATCAATCATAGCAACACTTGGCCCATTCTTTTCCAGTGCCCTCTATTTGGCTGGATGGCAGGATGTGTTCTCTAGTCCCGAAGTCCTGAAGTGCCTGGGTCATTTACTTTATTGATTACAACTTTCTCTTGTTTCCCCGATTGCCGGCCACAATACAGACTAGAAAATAACAGAGAAAAAATAAGAAACAGCAATTTGAGTTAAGCGTGTCCATAGCCAGGGATATCAAGGATATTCCCACCATGAAACCAAAGTAGAGTGGGTGCAAATGGTTTTGCCACAAAAATGTAGCCTTGATTAAAGCCACCTTATTTGGACTTTGGTTACAGGCTTTGGTTTTTATGAGAGCCTGTGCAAGGGTATGGGTATGGAAGTGCATAAATAAGTTTTCAATTCCTTTGCATGTCCTGGCAATCACTACAAATAAATAAAGCATTAAACGAGCCCTCAGACCTACACCCTGAACCCGCAGCATAAAACTGTCATAATTTATGAAGTTTATCATTTGGTGTTCCTGGTTTTGTATTTTATTTTCTTTTATTTGTCGGAGCCGCCCCAAAACGCATTTGTGTCAATTTAAATTTATGTAAACATAAAATGGCCAGCCGAAAAAAATTCAAAAATATGAGAAAAACATGCGTCCTGTGTATATCCTTGGATATCACATTTTTCATTCGCTTTTCGTTACTCTTTTTTCCGGTGGGAGCTTTCTGATTGGATGATGAAGTTGATTTATGAAATAAAATACTGGAATTACAATTACTTTGATTTGTAGAGCTTTGTAAAAAATAAATGCATGCAATTTCATTATTCATATTAAATAATTTCTGAGTTATAAATATTTGTGTAAGGGTATGCAAAAATCTTAAGAGTGAAATGTAAAAATATCCTGGCATCTTGGCTTGTTCTTTATGATTTAATGCGCGCGGCATGCCGTGACGTTCACTTAGGCATGGACAACACAATAAAACTCCACAACAGCCAGAGGAATATCAATATGAGACGGGACCAGATAGGTTGGGGCACAGGGACAGAGGCCAGCGGCAGCAGGATACGCTTTCCTGGGCCGCCTGCGCACTTTTGACATTTCATTATCCTGTTAAGTATTCAAAAGTCAGAGCAAAAGCAAAAGCAAAGGGAAAGGCAAGCCGGCACAGACACAGCCGGGACACAGAACGAGGAAAAGCAACAAGGACCAGGACATGTCTGAGTCTGGGTGCCCTGCCCCTTGGTCCTGCTGCGTTACACCAGCTTATCATTTATGCCGAACGCGTTCTTTTTGGCTTTTAGTCGCCATACATCCCGCTCCACTCCCCACAACTTTGCCATTTGTTTTGTCTGCCAGTAATGCCATGCGGAATTGCCTTTGTGTCCTTGCCGTTTATGACATTGTATTGGAATCCCGCATGGCTGTGTGTGTGTGTTTGTGTGGGCTTGTATAAATTACATTACATAACAAGCAATATAACAAACGATAACAAACACCTTGCCATACACAAGGAAATGAATCTTCAGATGGGTAAATATATGAAAAAGATGGAAAGCAAAAATAAATAAAAGCAAGCCATTTAATAAAAATGTGGCATTGACTTTTGATTTTTTGGGGAATCTGCTTTATGGACTGTTATTTGTTTATGCCAAATGTTAAGGATAATGAAGAGTTTTCTACGTTTTAACCGACTAGATTTAATGAAATTATTCTTCTACTTGAAAAATCTTCCTTCCTTTTTTGTGGCTTAGTCCTTTTTCTTTCTTGTGTCCTGGTGAGTATTTAATTTGACAGTCTTGAGCCAAAAATACGACAATCGATTCAACCACAAAAAGTCAATTAAATTCAGTAAAGAAATCTCACTAAATAGTTCTATCAAGCAATTTATTTGCACTCACTCCACTCCACTCCACTCGTTTGAAAGCTGAATGGCTTGATGAATCCTGGAGATCTCCATCTTCATCTCCGGGAGTATCTCAATAAAGCAATCAGTGCCACCGAGCTGGGCTGAAAAGTGAGTGTTTGTATCCAGCAATAGTAAATTTCATTTTCTTTTTGCAGGTCATTGCGGACTGAAGGCGGACGACGAGAAGGAGCACATCCTTGGGGGGTGGAGAAGGCAAATGCAACCTGCACAGACACCATTAGACTTGAATAGCAACCACACGTGAGTATGGGGGGAAAGAGGGGGAAAGCCAAAGGACCTCCGGCCCACGGACAAACACAGACTATATCGACACTATATATCTCGGACATGTGTCGGCCATCAACTTATGCAATCAACGATTTGGCTTTGACCGGACAGACTGACTGGCTATGGTGCTATGTAAACCCTAAAGCAAAAGACGATGCTCCAAGGAGCAGGAAGAAGAAGGAGGAGAAGGTGCCTCCACCGACCCGGCACCAGGACAAATGTTTATTTAAGCATAAAGCCACGTACAACCGAGCCGACACACATGCGAACTTTTACAATATACTCGGATATACATACATATATATGGATGGTTTGGAGCTATGTACTTAGGCACAGCTGTACTTGCAGTCCATGGCTGGTAATTACATACAGACTGCCGGGCCAGGACCTCATCCTCCAAAGTCCGTCCTCCAGCCTAACCCATTTCCTAGGGCGGCTGGATAAATATTTGGTTTAACCTTTTTCCTTTTGTGCGGCTTTGGCTTGGTCCTTTTTGTATTTGCCTTTGGTTTTATGGCAGCGCCTGTGTCACTATTTCATTTCGATTTGAGCCAAGTTTGCCGCAGTCCTTAGCCAGATTCGTATCCTTAATTTATTTGTTTGCGATTTTCTGATATTTTGTAATTGAGTTTTTTTCTCTTCCACTCCCCACTCTATGCCAGGACTTGGCTAAAAAAGATATGACAAATGTTGAGAGTTTGCAGAACAAAAAAAAAGAACAGAAAAGTAGGCAAACTGTTGATATTCATTGGACAGGACACGTCCACAGCTAAGGATATTTATATTACTACGTGTGTGTGTGTGAATATGAGTGTTTGAGTTCAAGTTCGAATGAAAATATGTCCCCTGGGACTTGAGCGTCAGCATCAGCGCTTGTGTCCTTGCCCCGTCCTAATTTATCGTTATGAATGAATCACTTTGCGACAGACTTTGTTTCTTAGAAGGACACGTACCTCTGGCGACAGGATATACTTTTGACTTAATTTGATTTCGCCCGAATGAATTTCAATTAGCTTCAAATGAAATTTACGCTACGTTAAGTGATTCGCTGCGAGATAAAAGGGTTCAACTTTAACTAGTTTTGTGTTGGCGGAACAGAAAGCGGATGAACTCTTAAATTGGACGAAAATTACCCTTTCTTTTGCGTCCTTTGGGGGCCATAGATTGATTATTATGATTTGTTTTCTGAAAAGATTCCGCCGGTCTTTGTTGCCGGCGTTGAGCCTTTGTTGAGCTCCAACACTTAACCGTGTCAAGCTTGGATTTATAGCTCCCTCTGAGAACTGTCTATGCATTCCGGCATCCTTCAGATATATGATTTTCCCTTCAGTTCTCCACCCCTCATCCACCCCTCATTGCCTCTGGGCGCTAGTAGTTTTCCCCGTTTTGGCCCAGAGTTGATTGATTTCTGTTCTAGTTCGGGCCAAAGAGCAGACTAAGCCCACCTCCTGGCTGTGTTCTCCTCCTCAATAGTCTGACAGTATATTGACGCACAGTCATAAATAAAAACACTCGGATATTCATGCCAATGATTCCCTGTATTTCATGTTTTTTTTTTTTTGTTAGGCTCAAGTGTTGTTGTTCTATATTGGGTAGAACCTGCGGCAAATCTCCTACTACTTGTAACTTGCAACACTTAGTGTTTGTGCACCAGCAAAAAAATTTATATAAAATGTTTTAGTTACATTTTATTTTGAATAAGAAAAAAGGTAGTAATATGGATTATATTTTAAACCTTTTTACTTGTTCTATTTTCAAAGAATTTCTTATAATTTAGTTATGATAAAATTTCAAACTAAAAATAGAGTTACAACATCCTCTAATATTTATTGTATTTCTTTACTGTGTAATTTCTGACATACAGTTGTATTGTTAATAAAACGAGAAGGATGTTGTATGTCCCAGGACTCCCCGCTTATGACTCTTTGAATGCTGAGAGTTTTGTTGATGATTTGCGTGTTCTTGAATAATTGATGGAATGACAATCTTTCGATGTGTCAGCATTGTTGTCACGCGTTGTTATCAACCAGAAAAACGGGGGCATCCACAATGTCATCATCATTATTATCCGAACAGCATTACGATCATTATTGTCATTGCTGACAGCGGTCGTTGGCTTCTCACACATCACACCAGGATGTGTGTGTGTTTTGAATAACAAGATGCCAACGCTGCAATCGCCCCCACAGAGAGTATCTCAGGCTTATGAATGATGAGCAGTCAAACAATCATCCTGGCAGCCCCTCTCGGAAATCTGTGGGACTTATACTGATTTACACGCGAATGAAACATAAAAAAGGACACAAGGACTCTCGTGTTACAGCGCCCGCCCTGCTAATGCCGCATCCCATTATGGTTAACTTCAAAAATTAAACAAGATTAATTTGTTGGCTCATTTAAAATGGCTTAACAATATCATTAATTTCATTTCCCCTTCGACATCCAGCCAACAAATAAACATATTTAAGGACGACAAACATGGCTTGAAAGCGCTTTAAAGCCTCGACTTATGGTGCGAGGGGGAGTAGGTGTGGTTATCCGGCGTATCATTAATCAATTTACGGGTAAATGACCCATTTAAAAGGTCATAAAACGCTGTCAGCAGGGCCTCAACTTCAAGTCGGATTTTATAACTTTGTTTTCAAAATCCAGGACGAAAAGTGTGAAGCCCCAAAGAGTATGCAGCATAAAGTTTCACTTTTTTGTGGGGGATTCACACTTTCTTCCTTCTGGGTTAGTTTCTGTTTTCGTTGTTATCTATTCATTAAATTTAATGATACAGTCTCCCCCAGTCCCATCCTGTTTGTTATGTGGTGCTTTTTTTTTGTTGGTCCTGTTTTGAAATCATCAACTCTACTCTCCGAGACTCCTGTGGCAAACAATTTTAAACGCTGTCTAGCTGGCATTTCTCTAGCTCCGGACCTTATCCCTTGGCTTGCTCATTTCCGAAGTGACACACACAATTTTTGCCCTGCCCCGCCTCGAGCTGAATGGACCTGGTTTGGACCTGGTTGGTTGAATCTGCTGAGCGAGCGCCGTCGCCCCTTTCATCATAATTATAAACACAAAACAGACAGCCGGATGGATGGGCAAATGGATAGGTTTTTTTTTTGCTTGTTGGCAATGGTTTTCCTTTCGTTTCCCTTGCACTTTTCCATTCAATACGTGCAACATGTGCCCAAATATGTAAGTTGCCCCACATTTGCTCAGAGCCCGCCGCCTCGCAATTAACAGATCATAGAAATGGGGCCGCTCGTCTCCACAAAAGGAGCTCTCCCTTGAAAGGATTTTTCTACACAGAGAAAAGGGGTTTAATTTCACTCTCATTTGGTTTAATAACAACTTTGTGTCTCAACCAATATATATTTTAATATCGAGCTACTCGTTATGGATTTAAAAATAAAAGTTAATAGTTCCCTTTTTTTCTGAAATTTATTGCTGTGCACTTTCTCCATTGTCCATGGTCCTTGAAAAGGATTTTCCCTCAATCCCATGGAACAGTGCTGTTAAATCTAAAGGACCAGAGAGAGATTCTGGGCCTTCTTTGTTAACTACTCTCATACGGCTCGTTGGCTTTTATTATTGTTGACTGTCCAGGGCCAGGCCATCTCCATCCTTACATCTTTACATCCTCCATTCCGATCTCCGTCCACATCTCCATGTCCATTTACATTTCCCCCGTCATCGTTCATTGTAATTACGATAATTACGACAAGGACTGGAGAGACAGCTCCTTGGAAGCTTGGAAGCTCCTGCACCTTAATGAAGCAGCATTGAATGCAGCTCATTGGTGCAATCCCCTCTGCATCCAAATGGGTGTTCCACATGAGTCGTTGGTGGCGTTGGTGTATATGAACGATGGCCACTCATCCGTCACTCCAGCCAGGTCCTCCCGCACTTACTTGCCCGCACTCCCCCATCGACTTCAGGATGTCCTCGTCCTGTTTATCCACTTAACAGCTCACGGGGTCCGTGTCGTTAATTGAAATCTTTCGCATTAAGCCGCATTCCCTGTCGGCGGAAAAGCATCCAGCTTTCATCGCAGCCGCCACTTTCCACTTTGTAGCCGCGTTGCTTATTGTTTTTTTGTTATTAAAGTTTAATTAAATACCTTTTTAAAAATGTTCACGCATGAGTGGGAAATATTTTTTAATGAGCTTTTACGCTTTTTGTGTGCAAAATGAAAAATATACGAGCCAGGGACGACGTATGCGTGTTCTTAGCCATTAAAAAGCGCGTAAATTGATTGCAAACAAAGCGTTCACACAGGTATTCACCTACCTGTGAAATAATTACCACTTTCCGTAATGAAGTATGCACCTACGGGGAAATACATATATCGTTATTGAAAAATATTAAGCGACTTGCGGGCGACTCAAGACCCACAGATAATTGCTGAAAAAATGAAATTAATATGAAAACCACTCGGCCGAAACAATTGGTTTTTATTCAGCATCGATTCAGTTTGTATCTGCGCAAAAAATTAATTAGCATATTAATTAAGATGGTTTTTATAGAGATACAATAAATAAATGGATGAAATTTTTTTGAAAATTTAAACTTTAAAATAGTATTTTTTTTATAGCTAGAGCTAGGCATTTATTATTGTTTATCGTTTATGATTTTTTTTCTTAAACACCTCATTAAAATAAAAACTTTTCAGCTTAGTCTTAAGAGAAACATCTAATCCGGTTTATTCAGACCAACCGAGTTAAATAAACTTTGTCCATTTGGTCAAATATTAAAGGTGCCAGACAGACTTTCTGGCCAACCAAAAAAATGAGCGGAGAAGAGTAACGTAAGCCGATGCTAAAAGACCAAAATGCTAAAAACAAACATGGAAAAACCGGGAACAGAGCAACCGTAACCATGGCCGTAGTCGTAACCATTAGCCGTAACCAAAACCGAGCCAGACACTGAATTGACCTTAATAAAGTCGACTGACACGGTGAATCCGACTGCCTCGACCTTTTTTTTCATTTTAATAGCATTTGTATTGTATATCTCTTTCTAGGCAAGTCAGGCCGTCTCTTTTTAACCGGCTTTTTATACTTTCAGAAAATGCTGATACTGCTGCCGCTGCTGGGGATATTTGGAAATGGTCTCGTCGCCGAAGTCGAGGCGAACCTGAGTCTGGGCTTTAAGGCCATCAAAGTGAGTTTGAGCAAAAAACGGCGAAGCAGCCATGAAAATCTTTATGAATGCCATTAATGCTCTTTCCTTAATTATGCAATCCCATTCTCGGATCAGTTGCCCAGGCATCCCAATCCGGGTAAGTTCCACAGGATTTCAAATAAAACACTTCAGCTCTCTAGGCCTTTAGTATATTTGCCATTGATTTTGTGAAAAGGCGATTTACGAATTACATTTACTTTGTGCTCCATTAATCAAAAGGCCTGTCCATCGCAATTTTATGCAATTTCAATACAAAAATATTATGTTTAACTTCTACAAATAGAAAGTAATTTATTTTATTGGCTTCCGAAAATTACTTTTCTCAGGCAGCTTTTCGTTTTACTGAAAGAAAAATGAAAAATAATCGAACACAATCGAAGGGCCGCAAAAATTTCATTAAAACTTGCAACAAGGAAATGTTCGTTATTTTTTGTCTTTTGTTGCCGATTCTTAGTTGGCTTTTGGCAAAAGTTACCGAACATTCAATGTCCACCTCCGCATATCCTGGCAGATCCTGGCTTAGCAGATATGCCATCTCCTGGGAAACACCAGCAACCAGCACACACACAAGCTCAAACGCCTAACTAACGAGTAAAGTGATTTTAGAGGTTTTATGTTCGATACGTTTCCTTTTTATTTCCCCCGACTTTTTCCTTTTCCATATTTTCCTTTTTTTACGCTTTTTTTTCTATTTTTTATGTGGGTGTGTGTTCAATTCCCTTCGACATGTGCCATTTTCCATGCTCTTTCTATGCTTTCTCCACGTTTTTTTGTATGTTGTCGTAGAAAGCTGTTCAAAATTAAACATCAGCAGTCCGAACTGTTTCACAAACTTTTCGATTCGAGGGCGTTTCAACAAATACTGCCAATATCGGACTGCCGATATGGCTGCATACTCACTTTCATACACATATAACATCTTTTTTTTTTGTGTGTAAAAGTGGCCCTTGTCCCCATTTCCCCCCAAAAACCGGTTGGAGTCAAAAGTTTTGAGTCAAATGCCAATACAGTTTGTGTAGCCCGGCCTGGACCAAAATAAAAGTTGGCCAACCTTCTGGGCCTTCCACGTAGTCGAGCGAGTGGTGGAGCCCCAGGCCGATATCAATGCCCCACACGTTTGCTGGGATGTGTATTTCAAACAAAATCTACACAGAAAGAAATATGACATTTTTGGATTAGAAAGAGGGGTTCAATAAATATAGCCTTTAGGTTGACTAAGCTGGAAACTGAACTAGAAACAGTTCCCAAAAAGTTTCTTTAAACTACCATGTTCTAGCCATAGTTCTTTCACGGTGCATTTAAACCAAGATGCATTGCGGAACAAGTTTATTTAAACTGTATAACTTGTTCTCTATTCCTTGCCAGTTTCACAACCGAAAAGTTATCGGAGCACGAGAATTTCTGAGTCGCTGTTAACTTGGCCAAAACATATTTGCGAATACGTGAAGTAATGTAACACAGAGCTCACAAACAAGCCCAGAAAGTTCCGAATGAACTGCAAAGATTAGCCAGAACATATCATTTGCAGACGACGCCCAGGAATTCCAAAAATCACACAAAGGATAACTTTAAAAACTTGACGTTATGGTTTAAGACATTTTTACAGGCTTTAAGTCATTTTTAATTAAGCTAATAAAGTTTTTTGTTCGAAGCCCTCCATCTGAAACTATTCAGACATGAACAATCTCGAGTACAGATTTTAGTTTTTGAAGTAGATTTGGGAACAGCCCCCATAGCACTCAATCACTGTGATGTCCCAAGCAAACACTTGAACTACAAAAATTGCGCATACGCAGCGTGGCCCATAGCCTTTTCGAACTTTTGTTGGCTGACCTGATCCGCTGCGAGGCCAAAGGACGGAGGGCACTCAAAACTTGTCGCACACGCTCGAGTGCTGTAAATCTTTGCACAAAATGAAACTTTATTTGGTCATGGTCATCAACGACTTAAGTAAATCTAAAACTCTAAGTAAAACAAACACTACACAGGACATAGGACACAGCATAGGGCAGGACAAAAAGTGGGGTTTTTCTTTATCTTTTTGGTGGAGTCCGAAGCCGTAGCCAAAGCCTTACCGAGGCCGCATAAAACAAATAAACTGCGCACACGTGACCCCAAAGGCAGTGGGTCGGTGATGATGACCCCGGAAAAGGGGACACTGGGCGCAAAAAATATGCTTCGCCATCAGAAAGGGTGGAGCCAGAAGTTTATTTCGAGTGGCACGACATTGAGTTTATGCTGAAATACATATATTTATTATGTATATGCCGACAAACTATATAGGAGCTCTTGAGTGCGCTTTGCGAGGCAGCCGAGAGCCTTAAATGCTGTCAACGGGCGGAAGATAAAAGCTTCCACATTGCACATTCCGGCATTCACTTCCGCTTTACCCTCCCCGAAAATCGGGGTATCATCAATGTCCTGAAAAGTTTATGTCATGAAAGTTAAAACCAAAAGAGATTCGTAAGAAATGCTTTCCATTAAACCACATCCAGCCTTTTAGCCCAAAAATTTATAGAGTATTTCCTATTCGTTGCCTTCGTTATTAAAATTTTGGCGGCCTTGTTTTTGCTGAGCTCGATTCGTTAAGGATAAACGATTTCTTGTAACGACCTCAGTCACACACTCTCAGACTAAGACCGAGGTGACTGTTCAAAAAGGACACTCTGTGTGGCAGAAGAATCCTTTTGGCACCCACCTGTGTGTACTCAAGGCAGACATTTTCTTATGAACACAAGACAAGGTACATTAAGAAGATTGCACTTTCAGGAATGACGCAACTTTCATACACACATGTGATATGTGAGTGAGTCAGTATCTCCGCTAGGGAAAGGATCTATACTTCCTCCTTTGTCCGCATTTGTGAGATGTGAACTTTTTCAATAATAAACGTAAATTGCTAATGTCATAAAGATGCGACAACGTGCCCATATTCATTACAATCAGCTGGCAATGCCAATTTTCACATTAACCATTGATGCCAAATGAATGATGATGCTAGCAGGAGCAGGAGCAGGAGACCACACGTTTCATCCTTCGGCTCCAGGTTCCTGCTCCTGCTCTGGCAGAGTCACGTCGTCAGTGAAATCAATTCAAAGTGGAAAAGTACAGGGCACGTACCCGATCCCCTACAACTCTCCCCCTGCTAAACACACTCAGAGACAAGTGGGCGGAGTCCTCTTTGGGTCCCTGATCCTGAGCTGTGTCTGTGTTCTAGGAGCGAAGAGCTTCCTGTGATTGCAAATGCCCCACCACATGCCCGAGTAATTGTGATTGGCGGCTACACATACGAGTTTTTGGCCAGGCCGAAACAAAAACGGGCATAATGGCCCGGAAGCACAGGAAAAAATTCAAGGAGGAACTAGAAAAATTATTTTTTAAAAAGTCTTTATGGATAAAAAATAATATTCTCTATTGAGTGAAGGCATATGATGATTATATCTCTTCTAATATTCTGGTAATTGATTCTACTATTATCCTAGGCTTTTATTTCTGTGCAAAAGTGGCAACAAAGGCCGTGTTTTTGGGGGGCAGGGGGCAAAGGCAAACTTTGGCGGGCTAATGGCATGCCATAAAGCAGCGGCATTTGTCAATATCAATTTTGATGAGACACGAACCGAGGGAAACGGTATTTAGGATCCTGGCCAAAAGGCGGAATGGTAGCATGGCAGCCCATTGTTTGCGTTGTAAATATGCGATTCTAGCGAAATTTATAACAAACAGAGGCAGTACTGTGACATTAATTGGGTTCCGACATTGCACATACGACATGTATTACGTATTTGATGACATAAATTAGCGGCGAAATGAAAAAGCAAAGCCAAATGAAATTGAACGGAATAAAATGTACAATAAACAAGTCAGATGTAGAATCCCTAAAGTTAGTCCCAAGCCTGGTTCTGCTCTTTAATATTTTCACACTCATTTGACTTTTCTATTTTCTATTTTGGAAACCATTTTTGTGCGACATCAACGCCTGCTGCTGCTGGAATTTGGATTTGGATTTGGATATGGTTCTTGGGCTTGGATCTCGCCTGCAGCCAATTGCAGTGTTGGCAACACAACATTCGCACATGGAGTCACATTTAAATTGGATTGTAAAACCCAATGCGTTTGCGAGGTGAGTCGCGGCAGCAAAATGCTGAGGGGCCCATCTGCACAAGATTTGGCCACAAACCACAGACAGCCACGCACACAGAGGCAGCTACACAAGCACAGATACAGATACACTTGCACACAGATACCCACCCATACAGAGAGGCACCATTCGGGCCAAAAAGGGCCAAATGCAGTTTGGTTAAACGATACTCCTTTTCCTGCAATTGTTTAACCTGCGCTTAGTTCCTGCCCTCCACCCATCTGACTTTCCACTTTTAGTTTTTCGCTCTGGGTTTTGTATATTTTTGGTGGGATTAGCGCCAACACTTGCACCATTTAAAAGAGAATTGCTTTTAGTTGGTAGCGATTTTAATTAAAATTTAAATACAGTGTGAAATTCCCGGGAATTCTAATTCAGCTGTTGCAAGTACTTTTTGATGGCAAATGGTGGAGAGCTAAATGCTGATGCAGATAGTTTAACAGATTATGGGGTTACTATCTAATTATATTTTTAAATCGAAACTTTAAGGACTAAACTATAAATTTATGGACACTTTGTGTCGTCACTGAATCATTACCAAAGCTGAGTAAGATTTTCCGAATCCGAGTATAAAGCAAAAACTAAATCCTTGACATTGCTTTATGGCCAAGAACCTGGAGCTCTCTTGTCCTCCGACCCTTTCTTCTTTTTTGGTCAGGTTTTTGCACCTTATTTCCAGCTGCGTTGGTAGATCATGTGGCATGCCACAAATACACATAAACACTCGAATGCGCCGCCATCGCAATTTATGCAATGCAATTTCGTGACGATGGCGGGAAAAACGTATATTTTTCCAGTGGATTACGAAACGAAAGTAGTCGGAGATCTAAACGAAATGGTAACTCCCACATAACACCCAAAAAAAAAAAACAGGGCAGAGAGACAACAAAACACTAAACAAAGTTCTTGACCAAGTTTTCCACCCCTCGTGGGATTGAGCCAATATTTTCTTTACATTATGACTTTATTTTTGGTTGGCCCGACCAAAGCTAAATAAACAAAACACAACAAAAGCACAAGCGATGCCAATGGGCCACATTTAATGTATTTTAATGTGGCATTGCAGAATGGCCGCCACGCCTGCTCGACGCTCTGCCCCAACGAGCAGCTGCCGGCGCCGGAGGACACGATATCCTGCCGATCGCCGCGCCTCGTCGAAGTTCCCGGCCACTGCTGTAAGATGTGGCTCTGTGAGAATCCAACAGCTGATGGTAAGTTGCTCCATTGTACACTGAGACTAAAATTTAAATTATTATCCTATTTTTAAATTATTTTAAATATTAACAAATTTGTAAGAAAAGACTCATATTTTGTAAAACTCTGAAGCTTAAAAAAGTAGTCTGTCTTACTTATTTTTCCCAGTGTCCATTTTCCGTGCGATAGCCATGGCCTTGTTATTGTTTTATAAGTGTGCTTGTGGCCACGGCCATCCCATTGTGTCCACCTCCGAGTACTCCGCTCCCACTGGTTCCAGTTAATGGCGCTCAGGGGCGTGTCGTGCTGTGTCCGATGCGCAACTTAATGCTTTTTAAGCGCCCCAAAACCCACAGCCACATCCTGCCCCAAACCGAGACCAAAGTGCAGTGCATATTTATGAAGATGAATTATTTTATCACGAGAATGAAGCAGGATGGCTTCGCAGCCATAGTAGTAGCAGCAGGAGCTGGAGCTGGAGCAGTAGCCGACGGCAGAAGCATAATTACTTACAGAGGGATTAAGCGTTAATTAAACGCGCAGAATGCAATAAATAAACAAGATATTAAGCGTTCTTGCCGGCAAATATAGGGTATAGTCCGCTCCAAGGTCCTTGGCGACTCAAAGTTGAGAACTGGATGCTGCAGCTCAACAGGATCTACTGAAGAGTTGAGACCCATTTTTACAAGCAATTAGTTTGCTTTTAAAGGAAAATATATTTCAAATTTGTAAAAAAAATTTTAAATTGTACCAAATATAAGTTTTTATTCATGACAACCCGTAGAAACAGGTAGAAAGTTTATATTGACAAATTATCATTTTCCAATCCAAACATTTTCATCGGCAACATTTTCTGAAAAAAAACGTATTAATATTCAATACTTTGAGAGTAATATTAAGACAACAAGTATTACCTTTTTACAATCGCTTCTTCTGGGGGCCTGTTCAAGGCAAACTCTAGGAATATTTCCTCCAAACGCGTCTGCATTATCAGATAGTCCTCAATATTTAATTTCTTCATGTTGTTCTCAATCAACTGAAATATTTGGGGCAACATTTTCGTTTGCGGTATATAGTAGGTGAGCAGTCCGTTGTACTCCTCCCTGAAGTCAGCATCTGGAATTGCATTGCCTATAAATAAAATTACGTTTTGGATTCGGCTTTCAAAGTCAGTGTCCTTGAACAAGTAGACTGTTCCTCTGGACCGGGATTGTGCATCGACGGAGTGCATACTGTGCATACTACGTGTGTTCAGGCTCCTATTGTCGTAGCTAGTGGATTCCATCAGGACGTCGTCGGACGATGAGTTCTCTATCACTCTCTGAAGAGCCTTCTTTCTCTGCTTGACCTTTATCTTCAGGATGAGTCCCTTCGAGTAGGTGTTTTTCAGGGCCTGAACCGAGCCGATGCACTTGAACTCGCCATCCACCATGATGGCCAGGCGGGTGCACAAAGTCTCGCACTCGTCCATGCTGTGCGATGTGAGAACAATGGACTTTCCGGCGGCCCGGATCATGCCGATCATCTTCCACAGATGCCGCCGCGCCCCCGGATCCATTCCGCTCGTCGGTTCATCCAGAAAGACAACAGCAGGACTTCCAATCACGGCAATGGCGACACTCAGTTTCCGCTTGTTGCCGCCACTGTAGTACTTCACCCGCTTATTCATATGCTGCTGGAAGCCGAAGGCGATGGCCAGGGCCCAGCAAACGGTGCTGATGTAGCGACGCTGGATTCCTCGCACTAAGCAGAAAATTCTCAGTGTCTGTCGTCCTGTCAGATCGTTGAACAGGGCATCGAACTGGGGACAGTAGCCGATCCTGCCATACACCTTGTACCAGTGCCTGGACAGGCTTATGCCCTCGATGTAGGCCTCCCCGGAAGTGATGGTCTCGTCGCCGCTTAGCATCTTGAAGGTGGTGGTCTTTCCCGCTCCATTGATGCCCAGGAGGCCGAAACACTCAGATCGATCCACATGGAACGTGATGTTCTTCACAACGTACTTCTTGCCAAACTTCTTACTGATGTTGTCCACCAGAAGGGGTATGCGCTCCCTCTCGCCACTTTTCACACCTTTAACAAAAAGCCTCTCGTGGTTCACATCCGTGTTCTCCAAGTAGGTTGTGGGCATTACCTTTCCCTTGGCCTTCTTCGAGGCATACTTAACACCGCGGCGCATCTGATCGTTTATGAAATAGTGTATCTTGGCATCCTTTATGACTAGAAGCGCCATGAGAACAAGTGCTACCACTGCCATATATACGACTTCCGGCAGGACACCAGGAGACCTCCAGCCGAAGTACTTCGGTGTGTCGCAACAAATGGGCAGCCTGCTGCAAAGGGTTGCCTGGGACAGACCTTTGGCGCCCATCTTGCAGCCTCGTCGAATATTGTAGCCAATGTGGAGGTGATGTATGGCGCTGGACAGACTGAAGTGGGGGAAGATTCTGAAGACCCAGGCAAGTGTGTCCCCAACATTCTGCAGGCCCAACTCCTCCAGCGAAAATGTAATCCTAAGCATAAAGAAGGCCGGCCCCGTAAGGGTGTTAAATATACCGATTCTGGTAAATCCCGAGGCACTGTCGGAGAAACATCCGGAGATGACGTAGCTCACCGGCAACGCGGCACAGCCGAAAATCAAGATAACCGCAAAGTTGTAGCAGACATAATTGAACTCCTTGAAGGCCTCCTCCCGGAACGAGACCAGGGTTAGTATGATAGAGATCGCCGACAGCGTGAAGGTCAGAAAGTCCCAGACGTAGTGGGTCACCCAGTAGGCGAACACACCCACGCCGCTCAGGAACTGTATGAGCTTGGCCCGGGACTCGCGTTCCAGGATGATGGGAATCGCATAGAAGGCCGTTATGGAGGTCATACTCAGGGCTAAGTGCACGGCGATTTCGACGCCCAGGCGCAGACCCTTGTTCAGTCGCATCGACATGGTGTCCTTGCTGTAGGGCAGGGGTTCGTTCGTAACTCCCGTATAGGCCCCGGCCCCTAGCAAAGTGGTGGCCAAGGCATTGTGCAGCAAATTGAGGGTTAGGGGAGCCGTGTGCAGATGGTTGTTGTTTAGCCATACGGTCATGTTACCATTGGCAATCGTGGCCCCTGCCAAGGTCTCGAAGTATACTTCAAAGTGCTCGTCCTTGTCCCTTCCCAAGATGTAGTCGTTGAACTCCTCATCCCCGATGTTTATCAGCTTGTACCGGCGGCCGAACCCGGCCACGTAGTCTACATAGGCTTGGGTCACCTTATCCAGGGGCGGCTCAGCCTTGTCCTCCAGTATGACGTAGCCCATCTTGTAGTCATCCAGGCTTATGTGCAGAGGTGGCAGTTCATAGTAGGTTTGACCAGAGCGCGAGTTGAGGACGGCCAGTGACATGATCACAATGGGAAGGATAATTATCGCCAGCAGTATCCAGTAGAATCGAAGGGTTATGAAGAACTTTTTCGCGATGAGTCCTTGCCAAACCGAGCAACAGCGCGAACACGAGTGGCTCTCCTTGGTCTTCAAGTCAAATATGAGGTCCGAAAAGCTGTACGACCCGGACTTCTTCTCGGTCTTTGGGGATTCTGGTATTGAGTCGGTCGTGGATTCACCTGCCGCCTGTCTGCCGCTGCTGCTCACCTGCATGAAGACATCTTCCAGGGAGGCCACACTCAGCCCGTAGCCGTCCAGCTTCAGATCGGCCGAGTTCTTCTCCAGATCATTCAGCAGGGGCGGAAACTTTTTGGAGTATATATTCGGAAGGCGGTAGGTCAGTTCTGAGCCCAGCTGTCGCTCGATTTTGATTTGGGGCAGGTGTCGATTGATGAGCCGAGTTACTGCAGTCACGTCGCATCCCTTCTTCATGATGCAGACCAGTTGGTAGCCGGGACCGTAGCGCTTCTTCAGCAGAAAGGACGTGCCACAGCACTGCAGCTGGCCGTCAGACAGGATGGCTATCCGATCGCCAAGAACGTCGGCTTCGTCCATGTAGTGGGTGGTCAGCAGGATGGTGCGTTCCTTCTTCTCCGCCTGCAGCAGTTCCCAGAGACTCCGTCGTCCGGCGGCATCGATCCCGGAACTCGGCTCGTCGCACAGGACTATCTTAGCATCGCCGCACAGGGCACAGCACAGAGCCAGTTTCCTCTTCATTCCGCCGGACAGATTCCGGGAAGCTGTCTTCGACTTTCTCTCCAGTCCCAATATATCGACGTACTTCTTCACCTCTTTTTTAATCGCCTCCGATCCGTGTACTCCCTTCAGCTTGCTGAAGAACACGATGTGATCTCGGACACTCATGTGGCTGAAAAGGATATTGTTTTGCGGACAAATCCCTATCGACTGGCGGGCCTCTGCCAGCTGGGTTCGGATATCGTAACCGTTTATGAATGCCGTGCCCTTGGTGGGCGCAATTATTCCTGTCAGCATATTGATGGTCGTGGTCTTGCCAGCTCCATTGTGGCCCAGAAGGACGGTGATCTCGCCGCGGTACATCTTCAGGTTTAGGCCCCTGACAGCCGTGTGGTGGCCAAAGCACTTTTCCAGGTTTATCAGTCGCACTCCGATCGCCTGCACTCTCCGGGACTTGTCTTTGTCGAGGATACGCTGTATGGAGCCGGAACGCCGTCGCGGCTTTTCTTTGGGTTGGCCAAACCAAAACTTCCGATTGAGGCAGAAATTCCACTTGCGAGGTATTCCGAACTCGCCGGGACGAACCTGCTCCACGTAAAGGCAAATGGTGAGATAGAAGACACCACTCAGGGTCAGCATTAGCATCACCAGGTAGATTGTAAGGGAGTGGTCCTCGGTCAGGGGCTGGAAAGTAGTGGTCATGGTCAAGCCGTCGCCCGTGCCCTCCCAGTCCATGATAATGTGCAAGCCAAAGCCCAGGGCCGAGTTGCACAGGGCGAAGGACATTAGTAGCATCGTGCTGAGTTCCAGTTTGTCGTAGTGGTGCTGGGCAATGGAGTAGGGTATGAACGTGATGAACCAGGCGATGGCCACGACTGCCGCCGCTGTGCTCGCTCTGGAGAAGAGAATGGCGACCAGGAAGCAAAAGCAAATGCCCGAGAAGATGTAGCAATGGAAGAACATGAAGACAGGCAGGACATGCGAGTAGTTCAAGATGGCGCAGCCAGCCTTAAACCTCACAAACAACACTATCATTACGACTGTCGTCACTCCGAGCATCAGAAGGTAGCTCTTGACGAACCAGGCCACCCAATGGATCCAGTTGTTGACGCCAATCAGCTTCATGATCTCCTTCAGCTGCAGTTCCTTTTCGTTGGTCACCGCCCTGGTAACCACGGTGCTCGGATACAAGAAGCTCAATAGGATGATGAACGGCAGGAGTCGCCGCAGACCCGCTAGAAGCGGATCATTCACACCGGGAGGATAAGGGAAACGGCGGAGCCAGATCTGTGGCAGTTCGGCCAGCTCCGAGCCCGTCGCCAGTGAAAGCCAGGACATGGTGAGAACGTGCTGGACCGGGAGGAAGCCTTCCATTACGTAGCCAACAGGAACACCGCCGTCACTTATATTCCAATTGCGCGCTCCCCTCGAATTAAAATACATGAACTTGGAATCCGTTCGCCAAGTTTCTATTATCGGACCTGGCATCGTCCGCAGTTCGCTGGGGAATCTCAAGGAATAGTTCAGCTTGAGGGGATATCCCCGTGAGTTCAGTATCAGATTGCTCTTGTCCTCGAACTGAACTCCAGCGAAAAAGTTGTGCTCCACCATGTCCTCCTGCATTTTAAGGCGCGAACCATACGCTCGCCAGCCCATCAGGTGCAGTTTGTGGACCGTACTCCGAATTATGGACTTGTACATTTCGTCATCGGGCGTGTAGCAGAGGACCAATTTGGGTATGTTCATGGTTCCATTTTCGTGCAGAATTCGATTTCCCTTTATGAACGAGTTCATGTACAGCTGCAAGTCCGATATGGACACCGGCTCATAGACAAGTTTCGGCCGATTATCGGGTGCAACCAATACCCTGAGCGCGACAATCAGGAGCATAAACAGTACTGGCGCGAAAAGGGCTACAAAGAGCTGTATCTTTTGATTCCTTTGCAGGATCCAGTTCTTCCACATGAGCAGCTTCAGCTTCTTCCAATCGCCAATTGGGTAAACTTCAACCTTCTGCAATGCATTTTTATCGCTATTCATTTTCAATTTTGTTCAAATTTCCAGCAAGCAACATATTTTTGACTTGAGATACAAAGAGTGTTTAATTAGGGAATATTTAATAAAAAAAAGGACTATTAAGACAGGACTATCCCTGTATATTTTATTTTTTGGTTTTTATTTTGCTTTTCCAAGTGTAGGCATCCTGTTTCGTGCCTGCCACTGGGCCATGATTAACGACCCAACACCACTCGATCATAAGCAAGCCCATTAGCAATCCTTTACTCCTCTGCTTCTTTACTCGTTGCAGTTTATGCCACCTGCCACAACAGCACCACCAGCGGCAACTGGACAGCCTGCAGCCGCAACTGCGGCCTCGGCACCGCCACCCGGCACACCTCCACCCACGCCGGTTGCCATCAACTGAGCAATTTGCGGCTCTGCGAGAATCGCAGGTGCGACAAGGACGACCTCCAGGACAATAAGCGAAGCAGAAGCCGGAGCAGGAGCCACCCATTAACGCCTAAGCACAAGGAGCATCACTTCCACTCGCATTCACACTCCCACATCCACTCGCAGCCTCATCGTCATTCTCGCAAGGAGCACCAGGAGCCTGCCCACAGGATACGAGTGAGTACCAGCCATCTTGTCTTTTTTTGTTTGGTGCTGTGAGAAACATAATTATGAAAAGTTTGCTGTAATTAATTTCAGTCAACTTGAGCTTTAAATTGCATCTTTGCTTTCCTAAACTCTACATTTAATTTTTTAACCAAGTTCTAAAAGGACCTTTATTTTTATGTATACAGGGATATGTATAAGCAGCTCTTATTTAACATAATAATTAATATTATGTTTTTATTAATTCTCCTAATATTCATATATTTTTTTTGTCTCTTTTAGAAGGGTCACGAGTGCCGGAGTATCCAGCGTTTGGGTCCAGCCCGTATCCGCCTAGGCGAGTGCGTCTCTCGGAAGCTGTATCGACCCAAGCTCTGTGGCCGTTGCCATCGCGGAGTCAAGTGCTGCGCCCCGGCGGTCACCACCACGATACAGGTGAGTGGGTCGAGACAGCCGAGAAATGTCTCGAATTTATTTGCCAGCAACTGGGCTAAGACGGACTCAGCTTGAAAGCCCGACCACCTGGCGTTACCCCTCCTCCTTGGAATAAAAATAAAACTCTGTCGCGGATTAAGCTTTCTTTTCTCATTCGCTTGACTCGCTCTTGCTTTATTTGCATTTTCTGCATCCTGGCTTGTTGTTTGCCATTTGTCAGTTTCAATTAAATAATCCTTAATTTGAAAGCAATACCATCATGGTACAATAAGATACAAATAGATACCCTGCACTTTTTATTTTTAAATGAAATATAACCTTTAAACTTATATTTTTATTTACTCTTTCTTTAAAAAATAGCTTTACCCTTCACTCCACATATCCATATTTATTTATTTATTTATTCAGTTGACTGTTGATAATCCTCCTCATATCCTTGTAGTCCTCATTACGCATTCCTTATTATTTATTTATTTTGAGAAATATTCTGCGGTTTACCGCAATTTACATACATACGTATCCTGAAATCATAAATTCCAAAGTAAAACAAATAGGCTTCACATTTTTTATTGTGCCAATCTTTCGAAAAAAAAATGCAACAAAATTGAATCTGATTTCCTGGGATTTCCAATTGACAGCACATCCACGTGTCGGATATCCTTGTCTGTTAGCATCCTGCTGTTGTTTAGTTTATTGGCTCTTTCCTGGCGGCTGCCTTTTAGTTTTAATTAAAAAGCAAATTGCATTAAAACGTCAATTTGCACAGGATACAATCAGCAAAAGGAACACAAACACCGGCCATTGGAAATGGCAATGGAAAAGGAATTAAAAGTCAAATGTTGGCCAGATGTTCAAATCAATTTGACACCTCTCTACCTTCCCCGCCTGCTTATAACCTACCAATTGAATTTTTCCAAGAAGAACCGAGATTTCAACTCCTTACATTTTCAATTTTTTTTTTAAATTTATTCTCTCTTATTTCGTCCTTTTCCGCTTCAGGTCGAGCTGTTGTGTCCCTTAAATGCTGTCGATCCAATTAACTTCGTACAACGACGGGAGCAGGCCAGGTCCAGTCATCTGAAGGAGCTCCGAAGGACCAAGGACGATGGCGGAGAGGATGACTACGAAGACGATGATGACGATGATTATGATGGTGAGGCGGAGGAAGCATATGCAGAAAAGCCTGGACAGTTATGGGACACGGTCGCCTTGGAGCCAATCGATCAGGAATTCCTGCACTCACATCAGATACAAATTGAGAATAAATTCATTGCCGTCGAATGGATACTGAAATGTGAATGCAGCACGAATGTGAGTAACAGTTTGGTTTTTTGACTTTTAGGGTTCACTTGCCCGGTCTGGCCTTCGATGTCCTTCTGGCCGGTGGAGTCCTTAAACGTTGTCATATTACAACGTATCCCAACCGTATTCGCATGCCATTTTAAGGCAATCACTCGGTCGTGTCCTTACCTCGACAATCGTTTTCCCCTTCAGATTTTTCTGGCTACTTGCTTCTGGCTTCTTGCTCCCCCTTTCCCCCTTTCCCACTTTCTACAATCCTGTTTCGTCCTTTTTGGTTCGGTTGCTGTAACAGATGCACGAAAATTGCTTTCACTTGTCATTTTAATCGCATCTTTTGTTGTTGTAAATGTTTTGTGAATGCTACCTTCTTTTTGTAGCTGATACCCATTAGAAAGGTATATGCTAGGGATTGATAGACTTTTCATAAAGGGAAAGAACGACACTTTTTTAAAAATCACTTTTCAGCTTTCGGCTAGCAAAAATATTTGTGTACATTTTATAATATAATTATTATTGAACTCCATAAGAAATATATATGTAATTTAATATTATTATAGGGTATCCTTGAACATTTACCTTTTCTCCTATTTAGCTCTGGTTATTTTCTCAGTCTATGCACAAATTTCGTTTTTGTTTCTTTTTTTTTTTTAAGAAAAAATTATTGCTGCAATTTTTTTGTGGACTTGTTCGGGTTTGTTGGAGTAAATGGTTGGAAAAGAGGCAAGCCCCATCCTGGCCACCCCCCAATTCGCAACTAGAATGGCAGCACCCAGCTGTCTGTTGTGTTTTCCCATTATTTTGGCGAATTCATCTTGAATGCCTTCACCGCTCGTATGCGCTGTGCAATTGCAATGATTGGATTTTTATGAATACATTCATCAAAGGAGATTCTCCCCAGAGCGCCAGAGCAGGCAAACCGAACGAAAACATTGTGTTGCATATATTCAGGCGGCAGCGGTACCTTTAAAATGTATGAGTATGTGTAGGGTGTGCGTATGGGTGGCAGTGTGTGTGTGAGCCTTTGTTTGTGGATGGGCTTGTGTCCAAAGTGGCGCTTTTGTTTTGCCTTTACTAAGCCTTGAATGGTTTTCCAAATGGGCTTTGACTACAATGACAGTCGATTCCTGATGAGTTGTCCTGAATCTTCTCTAAACAATCAAAACATTCGGCAATTGTTATCATACTCCAAATCGATATTGGGATTCTTAAATATAAATGGCAACTATTTCTTGAGTATTAATTTTCAAAGCGTCGAAATTTTTCACGAAGTACTTCCATAAAATAGTGGGTTTTTCTGATTTCCCCATTTTTGGTCACTCCGATGTGCATAGCTCTGCCAATACCTATCCGATCAAGAAATGAAGTACCATTTTGTGATCAGCGCTTTCACCGCCGCTTTTCCTCATTCAAAATAATGCCTGAATATCATTTTGAAGTTTTTCGAATTTTTTCAAGGGGTACCCCCATGAAAAAGTGCGTTTTTCTGATTTTCCCATTTTTGGTCACTCCGATGTGCATAGCTCTGCCAATACCTATCCGATCAGGAAATGAAGTACCATTGTGTGATCAGCGCTTCCACCGCCGCTTTTCCTCATTCAAAATAATGCCTGAATATCATTTTGAAATTTCTCGAATTTTTTCAAGGGGTACCCCTTTGAAAATGTGGGTTTTTCTGATTTCCCCATTTTTGGTCACTCCGATGTGCATAGCTCTGCCAATACCTATCCGATCAGGAAATGAAGTACCATTTTGTGATCAGCGCTTCCACCGCCGCTTTTCCTCATTCAAAATAATGCCTGAATATCATTTTGAAATTTCTCGAATTTTTTCAAGGGGTACCCCTTTGAAAATGTGGGTTTTTCTGATTTCCCCATTTTTGGTCACTCCGATGTGCATAGCTCTGCCAATACCTATCCGATCAAGAAATGAAGTACCATTTTGTGATCAGCGCTTCCACCGCCGCTTTTCCTCATTCAAAATAATGCCTGAATATCATTTTGAAATTTCTCGAATTTTTTCAAGGGGTACCCCTTTGAAAATGTGGGTTTTTCTGATTTCCCCATTTTTGGTCACTCCGATGTGCATAGCTCTGCCAATACCTATCCGATCAGGAAATGAAGTACCATTTTGTGATCAGCGCTTCCACCGCCGCTTTTCCTCATTCAAAATAATGCCTGAATATCATTTTGAAATTTCTCGAATTTTTTCAAGGGGTACCCCTATGAAAATGTGGGTTTTTCTGATTTCCCCATTTTTGGTCACTCCGATGTGCATAGCTCTGCCAATACCTATCCGATCAGGAAATGAAGTACCATTTTGTGATCAGCGCTTCCACCGCCGCTTTTCCTCATTCAAAATAATGCCTGAATATCATTTTGAAATTTCTCGAATTTTTTCAAGGGGTACCCTTTTGAAAATGTGGGTTTTTCTGATTTCCCCATTTTTGGTCACTCCGATGTGCATAGCTCTGCCAATACCTATCCGATCAGGAAATGAAGTACCATTTTGTGATCAGCGCTTCCAGTGCCACTTTTCCTCATTCAAAATAGTGCCTGAATATCATTTTGAAATTTTTCGAATTTTTTCAAGGGGTAGCCCTATGAAAATGTAGGTTTTTCTGATTTTCCCATTTTGTTTCACTCCGATGTCCATAGCTCTGCCAATACCTATCCGATCAAAAAATGAAGTACCATTTTGTGATCAGCGCTTTCTGTGCCGCTTTTCCTCATTCAAAATAGTGCTTTAATATCATATTAAAATTTTTCTATTTTGTCAAGAGGTGAAATGGTGCAAAATAATCAATAAAATTTAATCATACTTTAAAATACCTTATAAGCCAAATATATTTTTCAAAGTGCAAAGAGTATTACCATGTTAAGAGAAAGCATAAGCTCTCTTATACGCTTATTCATTTTTTTGGCGTCACACCACTTGCCCGGTGGTCTCTCATTTTACAGGCCGATAATAAGGCGCTGATAATGCAACTGCTTTATTCTCTGTTTACTGCATTGACATAACTCACATATTTGCCACAGCAACAAGGGAGGTCCCCTTATCGGCAGATGGATCTTATCGCAGAGAGCAGAGACCCAGAATAGAGAGACCCCAGGTAGCGAGAGTGATAGTTGAGGGTGAAAGTGAACAAAACCAATTTAGTAGGTGGTCGAACGTTGAGCGTGAAAGACTCGAAAAAATAGTGAGAGTGCCGTTTTGTTTTAATTACAATAAAAACAAAAACAAAAGCTATATAAATATTAAAATGAGTTCCGCGTCATTAAGACTTTTAAGCAAAACTAAAGATACGGCTCGCATTGTGATCGTTGGAGCGGGATCGGCTGGTATTGCTGCAGCCACCCGACTCTTGGAGCAGGGTTTCAAAAACGTCCTTGTCCTGGAGGCGGAGGACCGCATTGGTGGTCGGGTGCACACAATACCCTTCGCGGATAATGTAGTGGACTTGGGAGCCCAGTGGTGTCACGGAGAGAAAGGAAATGTGGTCTTCGAAATGGTCAAGGACCTGAATCTTTTGGATGTTACCGAGCCCCACTATGAGACCTTTAAGTGCGTGCGTTCCAACAAGGAAATCCTGCCCGATGAGATCGCCGATACCCTCAAGAGTATAGCTGAGAACTCCATTCCAGAAAGACAAACAGAGCTGGTAAACTATAAAGGATCTCTGGGGGACTATATTAACTGGAAGTACTGGACAGAGCTGAAAAAGCTCCCACCCATAGACCACACAATAGCCGAAGAGTTCCTGGAAGTCTTTCACAAGTTCGAGTCCTCCGTGGAGGCGTCAGATCATCTCTTTGAGGTCTCCGGCCAGGGCCACCTGGAGTACTGGCTCTGCGAAGGTGAACTTTTGCTCAACTGGCGCGACAAGGGCTACAAGAGCTTCCTGAGATTACTAATGAAATCCAAAGAGGATGGTGATCTGGGCATCCTTAAAGGACACGTTCTACTCAACAGAAGAATCGCCGAAATCAATTGGCAAGGAGCCGATGAGGTCACGATTCGTTGCTGGAACGGGGAGATCCTCACCGCCGACCATGTGATCTGCACCGTGTCCTTGGGCGTGCTCAAGGAGCAGCATCAACAGCTCTTCGTCCCAGCTCTGCCAGCCGCAAAAGTAAGAGCCATCGATGGCCTTAAACTGGGCACCGTGGATAAGTTTTTCTTGGAGTTCGAAAAGCCTCCACTCCCCGAGGACTGGCCTGGTTTCAACTGCCTCTGGCTGCAGAAAGATCTGGAGGAGCTGCGAGCCTCCGAGCTCTTCTGGCTGGAGAGTGTTTTCGGGTTCTACCCCGTCTCCAGGCAGCCACGAATCCTCCAGGGCTGGATAATAGGACCACATGCCCGACACATGGAGACTCTTACCGAGGAGAAGGTGCTGGAAGGAGTACTCTGGCTGTTCAGCAAGTTCCTGCCCTTTGCGGTTGGCCAACCGATTCGCTTCCTGCGCACCCAATGGCATGCGAATCCCAACTTCCGGGGCAGCTACACCTTCCGCTCCACTTACACGGATGCCCTGCGAACCGGTGCCTGGGATCTGGAGGCGCCTCTGTCGGATGTGGGCGGCCGGCCTCGACTCCAGTTCGCTGGGGAATCCTCCCACAAGCACTTTTACTCCACAGTCCACGGAGCCATAGAGACTGGGTGGCGGGAGGCGGACCGATTGAATCGTTATTACCGGACACGAACAGCTCGGTTGTGAGCTGACCAGAAGGTGTGACGGCGCATCCGTGCTATTGAGATTGGCCACGGCCAAAATAATTTGTTATAGTCTTCGATATTTGTTGGGTTTCCTAACAAAACAATTATAAAAGAATTTATAAAAAAATTATAAAAGAAAGTATGTTTGTTTTTTTTTTTAATAAAAAAATATTGTAAATAAATATTAAATACCTTTCAATAATTCTTTAGTTGAATTGAATAGTTTCTTTCTTTTAAGATACTTAAAATGTTGCGTATTTTACCAATTTCTTATCTTAATTCCATTTAGTATTTGTGAGGTTTTAAAACAGCCCTAAAAGAGTATTTTTCGACGATAAGATATGGAGGATATAGAGATGAAAGTCTATAACTTTTGGTCATAATTCATAGTTTAATTTTCAACACGAACAGAAAAATACTTAAATTTTCTCTCAGAACTTTAATACAATCTGTAAACTTACTCGATTCTGCTGGAAAATAAATGTACTTTGCTTTTTCATATTTTATGGCCAATTTTAATGTCAGTACCCAGACACAATATATCAGTTTCCCTTTATTTGTTTGTTTGCCCGGGGAGGGATAGTCATAAAATCTGGTTTTGCTTGCAATTTTTATGGTTCTGTGGCGGGCGACTTGAGGCTGTATCTTTAAATTTCAAGCTCTCGCTGTTACAAACAATATTCAAACGCGTTAGCACTCAAAAAACAAAAAAAAAAGAGACAAACAAACAACAAATAAAAGCCAAAACATGTTGACCAACTCATTTGCAGAGAACGGCAAACAACATTGTAATTGCGCCTGTTTTTCGGAACATTTGCAAACACTCCCTGTCCAAATGGCTGGTTCTGGGCTGATGGGCGGCGGCCAGGGGCCGGGGGGCGTGGCATTGAGGTCTAACACATGCAAAACTTTAGATTACGAGGGGAATACAGAATGGGTAGAGCAGAAATCAGTTTAGCACATATCTGGTGCAGCACAAAAAATAGAAACCAGATAGAGCCAAAGGCTAACCAAAGCAGACCAGACGTATAAGGCCACAAAAGCCACAACAGGCCAACAGGATCCTGGAATTAGAAGCAGTACCCAGAACAGGAAAAGAGGTACTAGCCAGGCACTGAAAAAAAATCTATTCTATTTTATATAAAAGTCTTTTTTTAACAAAATCATAGCCACTAATTGGCTAAAGTTTTATAAATTTCTAAATAAATGTTTATACTTGTCTTATATTTGATATTTAATTTTTTTCTGTTTCTCATTTTCAATGCAAACTACTGGCCACCAGACAGTGGCACTAGCACTTTGGCTATCCATGTTGAAAATTCAAATTTATGCTAGTCCCCGGGTCAGAATATACGGAAATTTCCTTGCTCCTATCTTGGTGCTTTTCCATTTTCTGATATCCTCGTAGCGCCGCCCTCTTTTCCGTCTGCCATTGTGTGTTTGCGTTTGTTTGTTTGTTTACTTGTCGCCCTCGTGGTCCTAGTCTCCAGTAAGTCCTTCCCGCCCGGCATCCTTCATCCTCGTTCCTCCATCCGCCACCTTCCAATTACATATGCGACTTTGTCGCCGTTCCAGTCGAAAGAACGAAAGCCCGACTACAAGTTGGTCACATCTGTTGTAGTTTTGCCGCCGATCCCTGTTCCTATTCCTGTGACTCCTTGGGTTCCCTAGTCCTTGGTCCTTGGCACATCCTCCGGTTAATGTGCTGTTGCCCTTTGGTGTCTGGACAGCCGGATACGTGGTTTTTCTAGCCAGAACACGAAAAGAAAATAATCCAGGTTTTCCCTAAAAGTTTTCAGAAATTGTTGAGGACTCTCCTTGTTTCTCTCGGTGTCCTCGTACTCATCCACGTGTTCGTGAGTCCTCGAGTGACAATGTTAAACAAGTCTCTGTTTGACCAAAGGACACACATTTGCCTAGCTGGCTGGCAGTCATCCTGTTCCTGTTCATCTCTGCCGGACTTATGTTATGGTCCAGGTAATGGTTGTTATGACTGTCCAAGTGTGCCCCCAGTTTTCATGATTGCAAAGGAGAGCCATAAGGGGTGTGGAGTGGACAGGACGATGGCGGGAATCGAGATGGAGTTACTGAGTGGCCGACAGTACTACTGACACAAGTGCCAACTCCTTTGCGTTGGGATTAAATGGATTTAGTTGCGAGTCCTCCATGCCAGAGCATGCCAGAACGCTTGGTTTAAGTAGATAAAATTGCATGAAATTATAGTTTTGTTTCTCAAGAGCTTTATTTACTCAGGTATTTTCCAAAAGGTGTTAATTGGTCTGAAAAGTGCTGGAACTACATGAGAGTTATGCTTAAAAGTTAATTGTATTTACCTGGTGGTGGCATGTTTGGTTTTCTGTTGGAAGTAAAGTTCTGTTAAATCGTTATATTTAATCCAGTTTCTAGCTAGTTTTCTGGGAGTTTTGCATAGAATCCTTTAAGAGTTAATAGAAGTCCAAGTAAGGTTGATTTGTCATAAAAAATATAATTGAAAACACCAAGTTTTTGTCATTATTTTGTGCAGAACTTTAATCTCTTTCACAAATTTGTTACAAACTTTAAAATTGTTCAGACTCACAGATATTATATACCGATTGAATAAAACAATTTCCAATTCAAATAAAAATTTTAATAAATTTTGAAATCTAGAAGCATGGTTACTCCTTGGAGACTCAGTTCTTATCGTGTCCCTTATAAAATTCAATCAAACGATCAGCTTCACGCCATCCGGATTCCGTGGCTCCGTGTACGGTGGAGAAATGATTACGACTGGAGGCCTCGCCGGCAAACTGAAGCCTGGGCTTTCCGGCCATATTTGAAAGTGGGGATTCCAAATCCGAACGGCCAGCCCGAATTTCATCGGAATAGGTGGGATAGTAGCTGTAACTGCCGCGGAAATTGGGATTCGAATGCCACTGGGTGCGCAGGAAGCGCTTGGGATGCGGGACACTGAAGTTGCAGAACTTCCGGAAAAGCCAGAGAATCCCCTCGAGAACCTTCTCCTCGGTTAAGCTCTCCATATAGCGAGCATGGGCGCCTATAATCCAGCCCTCTAGAATCTTGGGCTGACCATCGACACGATGAAAGCCGCACAAGCTTTCCAGCCAGAAGAACTCTCCGGCTTGCAGCTCTCGAAGATCTGCCTCCACCCAAAGGAACATGACGTCCAGCATTTTCTCCGGCAGCGGTTGCTCCTCGAATTCCAAAATCAGCTTGTTCACAGTCCCCAGGTTAAGGCCTTCGATGGCCTTCAGCTTCGGGGATGGCAGTGGTGGCACAAATAGCTTGGGGTGCTTCTCCTTAAGGACTCCCAGAGAGACTGTGCAGATCACGTGATCCGCCCTGACAATTTCTCCATTCCAGCAGCGAAGTAGTAATTCCTCGGAACCCGACCAATTAATCTCAGCGATTCGCCTGTTAAGCCGGACATGACCCTTTAGGGTTCCCTGGTCGCCGGGCTTATCCTTGTCCGCTCCCAGCAGGAGACTTAGGAAAAACCAGAACCCTTTGTCCTTCCAGCTGAGATTCTGATCGCCGTCGCATTCCTTAAAATTCAGATAGTTCCGCGTTGATAGTTCGAACAAGTGATCGCAGGCATCCGAGGTGCAAATGACCTTCTTGAGGCAGTCAAGGGCTTCCTTGGCAATCGTCTTATCGTCGGTGTCCTTAACCGCATTCTTCCAGTAAAGTTGAGTAATAAAATCCCCCACGGAACCCTCGTAGTCCTCATCCACTTTGTAAGTTTGTAAGAATTCATTGAATGCATTGCTCTGGTCATCGGTGAGAATGTCCTTGTTGGAGCGTATATAGTGCATGACATACTCCCCAGTTGGCTTAAGGACATCCAAGTCCTTGACCTTTTCGTAGACCACGTTGCCCCCCTCACCGTGACACCATTGGGCTCCCAAGTCCATTACATTTTCGCCAAAGGGTATGGTGTTAATGCGACCTCCGATGCGATCCTCCGCCTCGAAAACAGTCACATGTTTAAATCCTTGCTCAAGGAGTCTCGTGGCGGCTGCAATACCCGAGGCACCGGCACCTATGATCACGATCCGGGCTGTTTCCTTGGTCTTACCCAAGGAACTGGGAATTTCCATGCAGGAGCTCATAGTTGAATTATTTTAATTTAAAAGCTTAATTGCAATAATGCAAGTGCTTAAACTTTGCAAAAAAATGGTATTTTATACTCCTTAGTCTTACTGCGGTTTTTGAACAAGGTATTCCATTTTCCTTGACCTCTAAATTAAATAGATAAAAGAGGGTTATTGTAATAGAAGTGCATTGTAATGGTCTTAACTATCATTTCTAAGAAACAATGGCCAGCAAGGTTTTGAGTGCATATTGAGGTTCTTGTGGTGACTTATCAAGCCCACACGCAACAAACACTCGACTAAATCGCGCGATACAAGTAATCTTAAAACTACACCGATAAGTTCTTATCAAATACAGTAGTCACTGCCAAAAGGTGAACAAGTATCTTAGTTAACTTTAAATGCATTAAACTCTTTTCTATTTTAAATGTTGACCACTTTTTCCATCTGGTATAAATGGTTATACTTTCAAGTATTTTTTTCAATAAACGGGAGCCAAGAATTTAATTAAACCACCATGAACACAATGAATGTTTATTATGTACGAATTTATATTAAAATTTTATACCCTTCCTCATCCCCCCCTCAATTTTTCTCCTCTCATCCACAGCACTGTAACAGCGACAACAGCAACAGCAACAGCAGCAGCAACCGCAACACCAACGACAACATGTCTAACACAAATAAATATGGTTATTACAATTACAAAAACAAAAACAATAAGAATGGAGGGCCACAGAGGCGTAACCACGAAATTAATGGCGAACCCAATGAGCCGACCAACAACATAAGGGCCAACTCCATCAGCAACAACAACGAAGAGGATGTGGCCGACAACAACATGGATGTGGACCACAACGATGTAGACAACTCGTCGTCGGAACAGCAACCGGATATTATTCCCTATCCGCTGGGTGTTGGCGAATCCAGTTGGAAGGCCGAAAAACTTCGACAGCAGCAGCAACATCAACAGCAACAGCAGCAACATCAACAGCAACAGCAGCAACACAGACAACAACCGCAATACACATAGCGCAAACATTTCTCACGCATGCGATAAAATGAAACAAAAGAAATCCAAAAAGCTGAGGCCAGAGGCAGATATTTAGAATGGAATAGGATTTAAGAATTGTACAGCATAGCGATACTTAAGGCCAGGATACAATATAGATGGGCAAGGATTGTAAAGGAACAGAGGGCGATGCAAGTTATACTTAGGATTTGAACATATCGAGGCAGTAAGTTTAGGTATGTGAACGATAGGAATAGTCTTAAAATCAAGAACAAAAACCAAAAAAAAAGGAAAAAGTCGCAAGCCGAATATTAAAAATATTTTTGCAAGCATCTATACACAAAAACGCAAAACACGAAAATGAAAAAACTAAAACCAAAATGGCAAAATTTTCTGAAAATCATTTAAATGGAATGCTGCCCAATTGAAAAAAGAAAAAACATACGACTATATGATCTAAATAAATAAAACAAGAATAATTTTTAAAACTTAGATGTAAATGGCTTAAATAATTCGAGATGCGTAATTTGGATCTAAACAACAAAAATACAATTAAAAACAAAAACAAGAAAATGCTAAATTTATGTGCATTCAAGTTATAACTGTGCTATATACTCAATTGTATTCAGATCTACAAGTACTATATACATATAGTATAGGAAGACTCTGCTTTGCATTAAAGAGAATTTAGCTGGCTGCAAAAAATGAAATTAAAAGGGTAGTTGCAATTAAATTAGTTTATAATTAAAAAATCTATATGAATATCAAAACTCCTTACATTTTTTATTATATTAAAAGTATCTATACCATATAGATCTTTCTTTTGTTTCTAAAAATGTTTTAATGGTTACCTAGAACAAACTATTTTAAACGAAAGATACCCCGTACTTGTTAAAAATGATAATTTTATACAAAAATATTTTCCTATCTATTTATGAATCCTTTTTCTAAGCCTATCGGATAATATCAGAATGATAATAATAACACCCCATACTTACACCAATTGCAACTACCCGATATAGTTTCGTTATAAAATACCCAAGACATATCCTCCCGGCAATATCCCGAAAAAAAAATTCCCCTGATTTAGATCATATAACGAGCAAAGCTTATCCACCACCCATATCAAGTTCTATCGATGTAAGAAACCCCTTAGCTAGCATCAGAGTTATCCGTATGCTGGCGAAATGCAAAAATTAAATAAATAAAAAATACCATAAAAAACACAACCACACGACTTTTAATTTAAAAAAAAAACTCTTTTAAGAGATCAGATCGTCGATCCACTTATCCCACGACTTCTGCCACTTGGCAAAGGCAACCGTCTCTTCCTCGCCCTCCAGGGCACTGTACCGCAGCGAGTTCATGGCCAGGCACTTGAGGAACCTCAAATCTGCTCCCACTGGCGCAATGCCCAGGAAGGCGAAGTAGAAGTCGTGGGACAGCGGAGCACACCGCCAGAACGACGGATCGTCCGATGATATCACAATAGGCACATTGGAGGCCAGGAGCAGAGCTGCCGGATGGTTCCTGTAGTCCACACCCAGTTGCAGGACCTGATTGGATACGGGGCACACCTCAATGGCAATGTCCAGGAAACGGGCCATCCGCATGGAGAGCGGGTGCTTCGTTATGGCATATCCGTGGCCTATCCTCTTGGTGCCCAGCATAATGGCATCCGTGAGGTTTTCGTCGATGGCTGATCCAAACCAGTTTGTTTCCCCGGCATGGAAGAAGAACTTGATCTGCTCCGGCATCTTCAACAAAGAGTCCACAAAGTCTATCAGTGGTCTTCCCAGCTCCTCCTGACCCACCAGATCAAAGCCGACCATAAAGTCTGGGAATTCTTTCTGGAAAAATAAAGACAGGCATACAATGAAGTAACCACTTAAGTCTATATAGTTATTACATTTAGTTCCGTAGCAGTTTTAACGTATTCCTCCACCACTTTGGGCTCCACGCCTCTCAACGGGGCATAGATCAACTTGGAGCCAATAAAGTCTGGATGGTCGCCCATAAATCGCTCCAGTTCCGACTTATAAATGGCCACCGTGTCCCTAATCGTGAGCATTTTCTCGCCCATGCAATATAGAGGCGGGAGCAACGACCTAAGCTCCAGATATTGGACACCATCTTCGGAAAACTCTTTGAGGGCGTTGTAATAATAGTCACCCCAGATGGGGGCATGACACAGTAACCCGTCGAGGAGTATAAAGATACCCATAAAGTGAGCCCACGCCTGATTATTGGACATGAACTTGGAGAAGGGATACATGCTGAAGCGGCGCTTGAGGTACCTCTTCACCTCCTTGTCGCCCATTCGCTCCCGGAACTCGCACATGGGCTCCCACTGGCACTGATCCATGGGCTTCATAGTAGGCTTCTCTACCGAGAACCGGAAGGCGATGGCCTTGTCCATCTCCGCCGTGCAAATCCAGAGGTTCTCCCGGTAGGTGAGGCTGATCAGGAACTCGGTGCTACAAAGTGCCGTGTCATGGGCGTGCAACACTCCGCCCTTGGGCATCTTTTTGATGATTTGGAAGATCGGCGACTTACGGATGGCGGTCAGGGTCTCAAAAATATGCTGTCCTGGTGTGAACTTGGTGGGATCGAGTTTTCCCTGGTTGATCTCCTCTGTTTTGATGGCCATTATCACCTTGTTGGCCTGGCGCTCCTTGTCGTTCAGCCGGAGCGTGTGGCCCATCGTCTGCATCTGCTCCACCTTGTTGATAATCTTCCGTAATCTGGAGTACGCATTCGGCGTAATCTTTCTCAGACTCCTGCTGACCGACACCGTTTCGTGGGAGATCTTTTCGCATTTGGTCTTAGAGGCATTGGCGGCAAACGGCCGCCATCCCGTCCTGGCCATTGGCTGCACCTTCGCGTGCCACATTTCGCGCCGCTCCGACTCCAGCTGAGTGTTTCATTTGGATGGGGCAATTTGGAAGGGGATTTCGGCCGACGAACATGTGATTTACACAATTTATTTACCCTGCGAAATGTGTCAGGCCGAATGTGTCAATAGGCCGCGCATTTGTTAGCGCCCCGCCATTTTATTCCGCACAAAAAACGCACAAAATGGTGGCCAACGCATTTCCGCTTTAACACACTAAAGCCGCCATCAACTACACACGCACACATGCGGCTTTTATTAGTAATTTATGGGACTGGCTTGGGGCACGGACATTGGATGGGGTCCGGGAGCCAGTCCGGGTGTGGGTGCCGGTCCGGATACGGGCTTTGGCTTTTTATGCATCCGCGCGCCCTCAACACCACATTAAATGTGCACGACATCAAATTGATGAGGCTGCCACTGGCTCTGGCAGATATGGCAATAGTGCTGGCCATTTAGCTAAATTATAGAGTTCGACTTAGAGAGTTCTAATATAATACTATGTTTTAAATAATATTTGAAAATATTTAGATCTATAGTTTAAGGATTTTAGGGATAAACGTAGAAATTTCTAGGAAAACATAAAGAGATACTTTATTAGTCCCGAAAAATAGTTTATGAATTAATTCAATAGATGTCTTACTACTATGAATACCTGGAATACCTTTTCACATTTATAGATTTATTTAAAAAGCATTTTCAAAGCTAATTTTAAAGGTTTTATTAATCAATATTTTGTATACTAATTCCTCTTTATTTTTTTAACCTTGTTTTTAAAAACGCCTGCACTATGTACATAGTATGTGGTTAGCACTCATCAGATCCAGAAACGCATACGTTGGCCCATCAATTTTATGGCCGCTTTCATGTTGGCAGGACGAGCCTTGAAACCTGGCTGCATCCGCCGGCGGGCCATAAAACTCAGCCAGCTCATTACGAGTTGCCAGCCAAATCAAAATCGAACCCCCTAAACAGTGGCACGTAAAATTGAAACATTTGCAGCACTTCCATAGCTCCGGCCGGAGCTCAAAAGAGGTTTTTTTCGGGCTGTATGGATGTGTGTTCTGGTGGTTTGTGGGGTTTTGGGGTCTCAACGACCACACAGCGAATATTCATTAAAATTCGCCTCCACTTTTCTGCACACTCGACCCACACATACAGCGCCAAAGCACGGAGAGATTTATGCGGAGAAAGCCTTGAATACTGCATGGATTTTGGAGAGGAGATGGCAGCGTGACTACAAATTGAAGATTATGGGTTGGATGGGAGCACAAATAGGCTCATATATTTGGAGAAGAGTTCAATAAATAGAGATTGTTTTTGATGGTTGAGAAATGGTCTTTTTGGAATACGTTTTTGAAGTGAGAAATTCAGAAAACGGTTTATAAACTTTACAAAAAATTGTTTTATTAAAGAAGTTATATTTCCTCAAATTTTAAAATTTCAATTAAGATTTAAAATTAAAGTCAACCCTCTCTTTCACATCTCCAAATGATTGCAAATCTCTTTGCCAGCAGACTCATTACGATTAAGCCCAGTCATCTTCGACCGTCCCGGCCACGTTCATAAATTGCAACTCTCTGAAATTTTGGCTACGACTAAACGGGTTCTTTATTGCTTTCGTTTTCTTGGGCACAATCGGGGAGAAGGGCTTAGGTTTTTTGACCCGGAATAGAATCTCTTGGGTGCACAGAAAAGTAGGCTCAAGCTTAGGTCTAACTACCAGACTAGTCCGTAACAATAGGCTTACAACAGAAGTTAATGCGGATAGATATTGGATGTGCGATTTGATTGTGCGATTTGGCTATGGATATGAAAATGACTCTGATGTAGGAGGATCCGCTGCCGCCGGAGGATGGGGATGGTCGGTGGCAGCAGGCGGGTGCTGGTGAGGACAAGGACGAGGACCGACTAGCGCCTAAGGAAAAGAGTTAAGACCGAAAACGCTGCCACCACCCGTGCTAGTCAATCGATCTTCTGCAGCTGGAAGGACGAAGTGCCCTGGTTGGAGGCCTCCTCGTTCACATCCGCGATGAATTGGTCCCACTTGGCCTGCCACTTCTCCAGGGCATCAAACTGGGCATCTCCGGACAGCGAGCTGTACTGGATCGAGTTGAGAGCCAGCTTCTTGAGCAGCCGGAGATCAGAGTGCTGGGAAGCGATGCCCAAGTAGGCGATGTAGAAGTCATGGGTCAGCGGGGTTGCCTTCCAGAAAGATGGATCATCCGATGAGATCACCACTGGATACCCATCGGCGAAGAAGTGGGCGCACGGATGATTCCGGAAGTCCGTGATCAGCTGCAGCACCTGGTTGGAGATTGGGTTGACCTCGATGGCCACATTCAGTCTCTTGAGCATGTCCAGAACAACGGGATGCTTAACGAGTCCGAAGCCATGACCAATCCTCTTGGTACCCAGCAGGATAGCATCAATCAGATTCTCGTCCACAGAGGAACCGAACCAATTGGTTTCTCCGGCATGGAAGTAGAAGTCAATGTCCTCGGGAATGGACAACAGCTCGTCCACAAAGTCCCTCAAAGGACGTCCTAGTTCCTCCTGACCCACCAAATCGAAACCGGCTACAAAGCTGGGGTATTCCGCCTGGAAGAACTGTGATTAGAAATGGACTTGAAGTCACACATCCATTAGCTTACCTTGATCTGCTTCAACGTATCAATATATCCCAAAACTCCCTCAGAGTTGGTATTACGAAGAGGAGCATAAATCATACGGGAGCCAATGAAGTCGGGATGCTCGTCCTTGAACTTCTCCAGAGTCTCCACATAAATGCGAACCGTGTCTAGAGGAGTATACTGAGTACCCTCAAGGTCGTATAACTAAATTATAAGGGATTACATAAAATGTAAATCATTTAAAAAACATGTTTTAAAAACCTACCGTGGGTAAAGTTGTACGGAATTCCAGATACTGCACTCCATCCTCGTAGAACTCTGTCAGGGCGCTGTAATAATAGTCCCTCCAGACAGGAGCGTACATAACCAGGCCATCGATCAGGCCAAAGATTTCCATGAAAGTCGACCAGGCGGCGTTGTTGTCATCGAACTTCTTGGTCGGATACAGGGTCAGTCTTTCGGCCAGGTACTCGTCCACCTTATCCGTGCCGTATTTCTGTCGAATCTCCGACATTAGGGTCCAATCGCAATTTCCCAATGCGTCAGGCTTTTCTTTGGAGAACCGCAGACTGGTGACCTCGAGGTCGCCGGTTTGCTCGCAACCCCAGAGGTTATCGTATTTGGTCAGCTTAATGATGGCCTCCGTGCTGCACAGAGCCGTATCGTGGGCGTGGAGCACCGCACCCTTTGGCATCTTCTTTAGCAGCTGGAAGAGTCTAGTATCTCTGATGCTGTCCAAGACGTCGAAGATGTGGTGGGCTGGCTTGAAGAGATGCGGCGTAATAAGGCCCTCCTCGTACTCCAGCAACTTGGCCTGCATGATCGTCTCGTTGGCCTTCTGTTCCCGCTCGGTCAGCTCGAGGTCATAGCCCAGGGATCTGGACTCCTCGTAACGGAAGAAGGCGCTCCGCAATGTCTTGTACGTGTCCGGAGTGGGGCGTCCGGGTCCGAGGAGGGCCTCCACATGGGGCGTACTGCCGTAGAGCGTCACCAGCTTCCTATCAACCAAATTTTTTGGTCGAGTGCGTGATTCCGCCGGACTAGGTCCGAAGCAGAGGCAGACGCACAGGCCCAAAGCGAGCCCGGCGATTAGATTACGGCGTATGGCGGTGGGCAGCATGCTGAAGAGTTAAGTTCCGTATTCCGTCCGATCACGACTAGTTTCGCTCTGCGACTGACGTCCACGGCAATTGAGGAGCTCCGATTTCGGCTCTATCTGGAACAATTGAGGTGGTTAGCATTATCTTTGATTTAACACGCGTTCGCCTGGATCTCAACATTTTTTTTTTTGTATATTCTATAAGTATGGGTATATAGTAATTTTTGTGATAATTGCGCGTGCGGGGGAAGCTACTTCAGCTACGGGTTGCCAACCCGTAGCCCACCCCGCCCGGTGAGCTACTAATCGTCGCCAATCGGGCAATCTGGCATCTTGATTTATGGCTTGCCGAAGATTAGATTAGGCCTAAACCCTGACATTCGAGTGCTTGTTACTTTTATTTTTACTTTTTTTTGGCCCACTTTATTAGCCGGAAAGCCGCTTAAGTTCTAAAATGCATATAAAACATTTTTTAGAGCCATAAACGTTTTAAAATTTTAACTCATTTTGTTCGACAGGGGAGAAACCCAAATCATCTATGTATTATGGTATGAACACCTCCTTTCATTTAAAAACCATCCTAAATGACTTTCAAATATTATAAGCTAATAACAATAAACACCTTGAAGGCATCTATAAATTATTTTGCATTGCATACTTCAAATTAAAATTTAATCTCAAAGTTCTTATCAACATTATGAAATTGTATTTCCCACACAAATCGGCAAGTAATAGAAAGGAAAAAAAATTGGATTATTATAAGGAGTTCTTATATTAAAGTTAGAAATATTTTGTAGATTTTATAATAAAAATAAAAACTGATTTAATTTACTGACTTCATTTTTTCCTAATCATATTTCTAATTTGGACATTAAGGACTCTTTCGTTAAAAACAGAAGTGTAGTGTTACTGCTTCGTCGTATTCACAAAGCTCTTGATCCATCGATTCCAGCTGCATTGCCACTTGGCCATGGCCAGCTTCCGCTCCCGATGGCTAAGAGAGCTATAGAGGAACGAGTTCACGGCCAGCTGCTTGAGGACGCGCAGATTGTTAAAGCCGGTCACCACGCCCACAAACGTCACATAGAAATCGTTGGTCAGCGGGGCGGAGTTCCAGAAATACGGATAATCCGAACCGATCACAACCGGAAAGCCAGCCGCAATCAAATAAGCCGCCGGATGCTGTCGGAAATCATTGTAGTACTGCAGATAGTGATTGGAGAGCGGACACAGTTCCACTGCCACTTGGAGAGATTTCAAGGCCTTCATGATCTCCGGATGCAGGGGAACATTCAGGGAGTTGCCCAGCCGTTTGCTGTCCAGTAAGAATGCATCGATGAGATTCGCATCCGGCCGGTAGCTGTCCGGACACATGGATTCCCCCGCATGAAAGTAGAAGTCTATGTCCTTGCCAACATTCAAGAGTTGGGTGGCCCGGCCCAAGAGGGGCAAGTTGCACTCGTCCCCAAAGGTGTTCAGGTCGAAGCCCGCAAAGAAATCGGGAAAATGGGACTATTGGGCAAAAAAATCTGTTACTTCTGGTTAAAGGAAGTGAAAGGATTGAAAGCTACCTTAAGAATACGTGCATTTTCCAGATATTGATTGATACGAGTATCATTAAAGTCCCTGAAAGGGGCATATATCAACTTAATCCCAATAAAGTCCCTGTACGCGCTCTTGAAAACCTTCACGGCACTCACCATGGCACTGGCTGTATCCAAAATGGTATAATTGCTTCCCTCCAGATCATATAACTAAGGTGAAGGTGATTTAACAAATATAAAAAAAAAAATGAATTTATTATTCTATTTTAGACTAAAATTAACCTCAATCCTAATCAATGTTTAAACCATAAAATAATTATTATTTCAGAACCTCTTTTAAGAGACAAACAATTTTAAACCCAAACCAAGCCCAAAACTCACGATTGGCAACGAAGAGCGGAGCTCCACATATTGCACTCCGTCGTCATGAAAATCCTGGAGCATAGTGCCCAGGAAGTTGGGCCACATTGGCTTATAGGTGACCAGGCCATGGATGAGCCTCTGAGCTCGCCGCAAGTGCCTGGACAGATCCGAGGAGCTCGCATATCCCTCTGGCTTGATTAAGAGACATTCGCGTAACTTGGCCTCATAGATGGAGCGATCCTCGTAATGGAAGAAGTTGCTCAGCAGCATCCAAGTGCATTGATACTCGGTCTCCACTGTTGGTTTGACATGTGGATAGGTCTTGGAGAACCGAAAGTCCTCAAAGCCCTGCTCCCTATTGACGCAGACCCACAGATTATCACGGTAGGTGAGCCCAATTAGTACATCGACCTTCATCATTCCTGAATCGTGGATGTGGAGCAACCCGCCCTTGGGCATACTTCGCAACAAACCATACAGATCAGTCTCACTGATGTTATGGTTCTGGAGGAACGGAGGCGGCTGGGAGTGGTAGTTCTTCCACAAACTGTGCACCTCCTCATCCTCCATCTTGACGGCCATCAACCGGCCATTAGCCACCTCCTCCAGAGGACTCATCTCCATTCGGCCGCCGAGCCGCAGACGCGCCTCCTTCGCCTCGAAATATCGCCGCTGGTGCTCCATCCGCTCTGCGGATGTCTTGCCCAACATATCATCCTGACCGAGTGGAGCTGCAAAGAAGAGCACCACCAGCATGATGCAGAGCATTGCGGCAATGAACACATGGACGCAAAATCCGCCGTATTTATTGGCAGCTATTTGCCGACGACGCTCCTCATCGTTCTGCTCCGTCTCCAGGTGGATGACCCGCAAAGCGGTAGGAGCTCCAGATTCGAGCGTTATTGAAGTAGGCAGAGGAGGAGGTGGTTGAGCTGGAACTTGTGGTAGGCTCTCAAAAATTTTGGCCATAATTTTGAAACCGAACGGTAAGAAAATTTTAACCACCGAAACTGTATAAATGGTTGTGTTTTACAACTAAACCTAATCTTAGGATATCAGTTATCTGACTGATATTTCTTGGGTTATACAAATACAAAGTACACAAATTATTACAAAATTTTTGAGAAAATGTTTAAATAAATATAATCATGGATCTTAAATATATGATACCAGGTACGAGAATATTTTTGAAGACCTTTATGTTATGTAAAAACTTAGGAAATGGTAGTGAATTTATTTTTTCATTTCTATTTAGAACCACTAGTGAATCAAACATCTATTTGTTAAATAAACTGAACCCTACTACCAAATTCGTACATTTTTTTTTTATCAATTTCTCACTATTGCGTAAATACAGTTCCATTAAGGCCCTATCGGCTCCCAGCTTTGACAGCTTTGTATTTATGATCCCAAGATAATCGCAGGTTAGCTGAACATCGTGATTTGTTTCCATCCAGATTTCTGTTATTTTGGGCCACTTGAAGTTTGGACTCCCCATCCCCCAAAAACAAATATTAGAACTTCCATAGCATATCATCGCCTTGGCCTTGAACACATGTGTGTTTAGTTTTAAAAATAAAACTCTCTTCTCCACTTCTGAATACTCTTTCGATCTTTGGTTCTTTGTCTTGGAGCCGAAGACCGATTAAATTCTATCGGAGAGAGTTGAGTAATGAGAAACCCCCGCTGCTTGATAGCTCTCTTCCCGAGAGTCGAGTGTTGTCGCCGAGGGGTTGCACTTATTTTGGAAACACCACCAGGGGAGGTAAAACTAAGGGGGAGGTGTGCAGTGGCACAGTGGACATGGGCTTATTATTTTTGGGTAAAAAAACAGGCAGTAGCAGTAAAAAAAACGTATAGTACTTCTAATATTCACAGGAAATAAATAGTATTTGAAATAGAATTTTATGGTATAAAAGTGTTTAATGTTTTTTTCTTATATTATTCAACTCTTACTATTTTTCAAAGTATCTTTTGAAACTGTTTTAAAAGTCATATTCGTTTATCATAAATTTAATTTTCTCAAAAATAGCCACTCTTTCCACTGTGCTGGGTTGCTTGCAACGGGATCTGTGTAATCACTGGATTCAGTTTCAGTGGTGATGTGTGTGTGAGTTTTTGATGGTATTAGTGTCGCCTTTGCAGTGGTTGCACGCACTCGCCAGCTGCGATTGCAGTGGCATTCAACCGCCGAAGGCGACACTGATTCGGACTCAGCCGCAGCCGCCACGGGGGTGCAGCTATCTAGACTTCACACACCCCCTCCACCTACCAACCCACCACATGTGGCACGCGCTTTCCACTGTTTTTTCTCTTTTTTTTTTGTTGGGTCGTCAGTCGAGAGAGCTGACTCAGCGACACCGGATCGGCAGGGATCCAGTGGATTCGGGATGCGTTTCAGGACCAGTCTAACCATTGAGTACACAGAAGGTACTTCCAGGCAACTGGGACTTGGATTCACGGAGCTAAACGATGATTGCCTTCTGCTAATTTGCGAGAATCTATCGCTGGGCGACCAACTGCGATTGCTGCAACTGAAGGAGGCGCGGCTCAGCCACTTGGTGCTCCGGATCTGGTCGAGAAAATACGGCAATCAGTTCGATTGGAGCAAGGAGCGGCAATTAAAGTTTCTCAGTGGTGACGAGCAGAGCCAACTTCTGGATTACATGTCCTGGAGGACAAAGGCCTTGCTCAACCTGCCAAGCAGTTGCCGGAAGTGGCTGAACCGGAAACGGAAACACCCTCTTAGCCACATACAGCGGCTTAGCTTCCGCGAAAGCAATACACGGCTAATACAGTCACTGCCATCCGTCTGCCCCAATTTGGTGGATTTAAATTTGGGGCAAGGCGAGGGTATTAGTGCCACAGATTTGTGCCTGATTTTCGGCGAACTGAAGCACCTCCGAGGATTCGAGCTGCGAAATTGCCCGAAAAATGATGAGGAGTTCAGCCCCAGAGCCAAGTTCGAATGCCTGCAACTGCAGAGCCTGAAATTACCAGCCTGCGTTTGGAGGGCCCATGCTCCGGAGGTATTTCAACTGCCAAAGTTACGCCAATTGACGGCTTTCCTTTGCCACTCGCCGGATTCTGGCAGGGATGATGATGATGGTGATGGTGATGATGACGTTGCCTATGATGACGACAAAGCAAACGCCAGTGGCATTGCGATTTTAGCCATGTGCCTCCGCCATCTTCGGGGCCGGAACTCTCAGATTGTGGGTCTCCGTTTGCAGTGTCAACTGGATGGCAGCCTGCCGTCCACCGGCCAGGACGCGGACCTATTCCGGTTGCAACGCTTCGCCTGGCACTCACAGCTGACGGTGCACTACGATGTCGCGGATGGTAGCATCAAGTGGCTGCCACAGCGGCCGCAGGTGGTGCGCCGCACCCTCCTGCCCTTCCTTGCCACCCAAGCGGAGAGCTTGCGGGAATTGGATTTCACGCGAAACCCGCATGCCACGCCCACATTCCTCATGCAGGCCACCCACTTGCTGCGACCCGCAGGCACATCCGTTTGGCATGACGCCTGTCCGCCCCATCGCCATCTCCCTGCCCATGCCCATCTGACGGATCCGGATGCGGAGGCGGATATAGCTGAGACAAACGATTTGGCTCTGGTGGAGCTGGAATTGCTGCATTTGCCTAATGAACAACGGAACCGGATCCCGGCAAGATGACAGCAATCTGGGATTTGGTCGGTCGAAGGATATTGAATGTGAAAGGATTGCACCGGAACAAATAGCAAATTGAATGAGCCTCTTGGGCTAAGGATATAGCAGAGATTTTATCAAATATTCTATTTATAATTGAATAATTGAAAATGTTATAGATAATTACCAACTAAAATAAACGAATATTTTATTATATTTTAAAAAGGTTACCATGAGTTTCCTTACTTAAATTATTAATTTTTAATAAGCTTAGAATTTCTATTTTCATTTTCCATCAATGTGCCAATCACATTTCCTTTCCAAAAATTATCAAAAAGTAACCTAAACATTTTTCAAACTTTCGATACAATGCTAACTTCATTCTGGAACGGTTAATGCAAGACTAATTTTGCATTTGGCCTTAAAAGCAACTATAAGTCTTGGTAACACCTACCTTCTCGCCACACCACACCTACACTGACACCCACCACAAGCAGATACATCAAGCTACTTAAAAAAAGGAAATAATTCTGAAAAGGTTCTACATAATCAGCCAAACTGTACTGCAACGAAGTTAGCATTTTGTAAGTTAATTTTTAGCATTAACCATTATCCTTTCGAGTACCGAGCAATGACCTTCTTTTATAGAAGCTCTGTTCTGCTCCCCGATGAGTTATTTGCGGCATTGAGACGCTTCCTAGGAAGCCAGCTGAATTCTACAGCGGACTCTACCGCGCCTGATTCCTGCTCCGAGGCACTCCTTACCACCAATCCCGGAAGCAACATCACCAGCGATAATCTCATCCAAGATCCAGGGAATTGCTCATCCTCAATGCGACCAAGTCCTTTCGACACATCTCAAGGAAGGAGGCAGTACGAGGAGGGCAGCAGACAGAATGCTTCATCAACATCGCAGCAAGGGGTAAAATATTAATTAATTCATTTTAATTCAACAAATTAAAGCTTTTACACTTATTTTCTTCCAGAAATCGCCCTGCTGCAAAAATGATGGCCCAGTAAGATTCAATTGTTGTTCAGATATCAAAGTTTTATAATAGATCAATAGATTTTTTCGTATCATATTTTTGCAAGAGTTACCAAATTATTCCAGCAGCTCATCATTATCGTAGCTTGTTTACTTATTTTATCTAAAAACTTTCTTCCTCAGCCATCATGCTGCAATAGAAATGATGACATCGTAAGTACATCCTTCTAATACATTAAAATTCTTCTTAAGTACCACCTGATATTTCATTTTAGAAATGCTGTGAGTCTCGTAATTCCTTAAACGATATAAGAACCCGTACAAATGAACGTTATAGTGTACGATCCCAAAGTGCCCCCCCAACCAAATTTGATTATCATTTTGGAATACACACGGTAGGTAGTAACATAACTTTTAAAAAGTTAAACTAATAAAGTAAATACAAATTTTAGGTCTTACCAAGGAAAGAGACCAAGAGCCGTAATATTGTAAGTCATATTAAAATTAACCATTATTTTTAATACTTTATATGTATATTAAATTTATTTTGTAATGTCAATAGTGCGAGTCTAGCGGCCCACCTCAAAAACCTTGTCCCATGAGCAGTTCTAAAAATGCCACAGGAGCGCAATCTTGGGAGGGGAACACTACAGCTGCCTCTAATTGTATCGCGTGTCCGAATCAACAAATGCAGCAACGCTACCAACAACCGACAACCCAAAATTGGGAACCCAACAACGATACAATTTTGTTTGTAAGTTTTTTAAATAATTGAAATTTTTTAAATTTTGAAAAATACTTATTGAAAATTTTTGAAAGGAACCTGATCTGAACAGCACCATGATTGGGCGGAATGAACGTTGTTCCAGAGAATATGAGCCCCAAGGAATGCCCCAGGCAAGATCAAATTCGAGGCAACCACGACAGCAGGTAAGTTTTTATAGAAATATTTATGATTTCCTGATTAAAATTTATCCTTCATCTATAACCTTCATAGTGCGAAACACCTCAAATGACAAGAAGATGTAACCAGGCAAGTTATTCCACATAAATGCTCAAAAAATATATAATGCTTATTCTTATAACTAAATAATATAATATATGTATATACTTTGTATATGTATTTTTATTTTGAAAATTCTAGCGTGAAAGCACTATAAATGAGACGAGTTACATGATGCCCCCGGAAACCTTAAAGAATCCACGTTCTAGAGGACAATTTGCAGATCGAAGCTATCGGGTAAGATTTAAGTAAAAATTTGTATTCTTAATATTATATTCCAATAAATTAATTTTCTATTTGATTGCAAAAGCAGGACAATTATTATTCTGAAAGGCCATCAAGTCAATGTCCCAGGCCACAAGCTCAGTCCTGCTGTCGCAATAACCAATCCTCTGCTTGTGGAAAGGTATCGTCCAATAACACTTCCACCCAATTGGGAAATTCGTCTACAAGAAACCACAAAACTTACATGGAAATGTCGCAGGCGCTATCGGGAAAAACATGTCTTAGTGTAAGGATTTAGGTCTTAAGTCCCTAATAGACATTCTTTACAATAAACTTTTCTCCAATCAGCAAACTGAAATCGATAGGGCGATACAAACTGCTTCCCAGTCTAAAAGATTTCATGGAAAATCTCGTAAGTCTTTCAACAAAATCTAATAAAACCTCTTCTAAATAAATCTCTAATAGCTGAAGAACGTCTTGCCGAACGAACCCAAGACGATTTCGTCCAGTATTTGGTCAAGGATAGCTTCTGCCCAGGCACCATACAGGAGAGCCTTAATGGACAGGGGAACTTCAACGAGCATGCTTTTGAGATCTCCTTTGCCGGAGAGATTCCCACAAAGCCGTATCCTGTGGATCCCATCAGCATGCTGGAGGCCATAAAGATGCGTATCGACATCGAACGGGAGGAGATTCAAAAGGCCAAGCAAAAGGAGTGGGAACGAAAACACGGCCCCAGGGAGAAGACCAAAGACGGCAAACCCAAGCAAGTGGGTCCTTTGCATCTCAATGATATAGATGACTATTTCGAAACCCGAAATCATTCGGAAGTCAATGACGGCGTGGCGGCGTTTCTAAGAGCCGAGGCTGAGTTTAAAGGAATGAATAAGGGAACGGTAAGAATATATATATCTATATATTTTAAGGATTCATATTCATGATCCTTTCCAGGATTCTGGTTTTCAAGCGGAAGTCAATACCTTGGAGACAAACCTCTTTGATGACAAAATAAAGGTGAATCTCTATAATGCAACCACCCATCCGTCAAACAAGTGATCGAATCAGAAGTGCTCATACCTTTAAGTTGCTGCTTGATCGGAATAATATATTTTTCAGTAATTGTGTAGTGTAATGAAAATAAGACATTGAGTTAGCTTTAGAAAAAAAGGCCTGGCATTCATTCATTATGGCATACCCTTTCGGATTATCGAGCCGTCATTCATAAAACCCAAACCTATAATCTGCCCAGTAATAAAATTCAAACGAAAAGTACCCGTGTAATCTCTGAACTGTATGGGCTGGTCTGAGGTCTGAGGAAATGAAGTCTCCAGTCTTTTGTTAAACTATTCCAAGTGGGATCGCCTCGTACGATTAATGACTCTGACCGATAAGTTTGAAAGTGCAAGGCAATTAATCTGACTAATCATCAAATGACTGTAGAAATTTTTAATCTATATGGATCGTATTCAAGCAAATCTTCGGTGGCGTTGCGTCAGACCCTACCGAAATAATTTTATGACCCCTATTTACGGACTTCTGGCCAAATAAGCGGGTCATAAATTTCGTAGTTTCCATTCAGACATTCTGTATACAAACTCTTAATGTTTTTCACTAAAGACATCAAACAAAAATAAATATTTCTCCAACAAATTTTGAAAATAGAATGATTTCTGGCGGAAATCAATAAACATTTGAACTTAATTTCAAGTTCAAGGATAAATAATTCGTTGGTATTAGAAAGGGGGGATTTTATTATTAATTATTAATTAAATTCTTAAGCTGATAAAAAATGCACAATAAACAAAGAAAACTGGGACAACGAAAGAGCAAAGTCTGCGGGCTATCAAAGCATAATATTACGCATTTCTTAAATATACTATATATGATTTATACTCTTGAGCACATAAATAGTTTTTATTTAAAGAGACACAATAGACAATAACTTAAGAGAGTCCCTCTCAGGTTAAAAAATATAAACTCAAATATAAATAAAATCAGCTGTTGGGTCGCTGGCTCTAACAGAGGGAACTCTCCCTTTCGATATCACTGATTTTTGTTTTTTATTTAAAAACTTATCATTAAATTGGACATTAATTTGAATGCGCAGTTCGTTTGAAGTTGATACTGTTGTTGTTAACAATGGGCTTTAAATGGCCTAAAGTGGCGAATACTCATAAATATTTTTTTACGCTGAATATGCATAAATGAATCAATTATGCGACTTTTACTCTCACGTTGTGTTTTTTTTTCATTTTTTTGCGGCTCATTTTCATGATTTCTGTTTGTATCGAATATCATTAAATGCGATTAATCAATTTGTTTAAAGCTGTACTTAATTAGCATTATTTTCAGACTTTTATTAACTTTACCACAAGAAACACAGACACTGGGCGAACAGACACTTTGAATTTAATTTCTACGGACACTTCTTCGAGGAGGCGATCTGAACGCCCGACGCGCGACCCAAAGACTGATCCAGCAATCCACCCGAAGTCGAACCCGAGAACTCAACCCTCCCTCGATGATCATGATGTTATATAGTCGCCGTCGACTTCGGCGTCGGACTTCCATTTATGACGCACTCGGTAAACAAGCTCTAAATTCTCCTTTATTCAAGCATTATCAGTGTGAAAAGAAAACAGATAAAAGGGCAGCCCAAACCAAATCCTCAAACTATAGATAATGCTGGTCCCCAACAGCTGTCCACTTGACACCCCTCGGACTCACGCTCTCTTTGCAATGCATTGCGGAATCTTATATCAAGAGACCGGCAAGGTATTAGACCGGAGAGAGCGAGAGTCGCTCTGAATGTTTTCCATATGGTTGACATTACCTGGTGACAATTTATGGGCATTAACAATGAAATATTACCAAATATATTCTTGCCCAAATATAGAACTTTTTGATCTGATTTTTTATACTGTCCATGTTTCATAAATTTTCCACACAAAGAAAAATATTTTTTCATACAAATTGCATTTCATATAATTCAAATTCTTTTTCCATACCTTTCTATTCTTTTTGTGCAAGAAATATATCCAAAAATACCTATTTCTAATAACATAATTTTTCACAAATGGTAATGTACTTATTTATTCTGATCATTTGTATTTTATAAACAAATCCGATTGAGGAATGAGTGAAAAGGAAATTAAAAGTTTGGACCACCCACAATGAATTCAAGAACAAACAAATCCCAACATCTGGGGGAAGAATCCACAATTGCATGGAGAAATAAAATTTTAGTGATATTTTGTCAGTGGGGAGAAGTGTGTATTTTCTCCCAAATGTAAACAACAACCTGATTGCAATTTGGAATAAATAAGATCTATTTATTCAAAATTTATCGGGTATAACAAATATTTTCCCAAATTCAATGTTGCATTTCGTTTGTGAATTAAACGAATTTAAAAGAAAATTCCCACCCATTATATTGTTTACAACGCAGGTTTTGTGAATTGCAAAAATGAATGGTCTTACTAGTAAAACGTTGCATATTGCTAAAATTGTAAAATATATATATTTTTAGACCTGGCTATTTTCGAAGCGGAAATAAAATATACAGAAACTAACAATGTACAAGGTACACAGTGGTCCACATAAAGCTTCAGCCAACAAGCCCCAGATATCCTGGGTCGTAAATAAATTCATAAATGCATTCTATGCTAATTTCGAAGAGCTTCCAGGAGAAGCTGATTCAGAATTCTAAGCTAATAGATAGTCCCTAGCTTATGACGAAGTGAATTTATGGTCTAATCTCTGGCTTAATTTTCCCTTTACCCGATTGCCTCTCTCCAGAGAAAGGAAATTGCAATCGGAACCCTCATAGTTGAGTAATGAATGCAAAATTAACAAAACAAATGCATTCATCATTGCTGACTGTGACAAGCCCTCAACTATTTATTCTAAACAAAAAATTTATAAATATTTTCAAGATGATGATGCGAATTTTAGTAAAGTCACCTCTATGATACAAGCATTGTTTTTGGTTCCAAGGTCAACATCATTGTGCTTTCAGTTGGGCATTTGCTTCATTTAACTGCATTTTATCTATATTTATATTTGAGTTTACCAAGAATTTCAAAAACGACACGTGTGCAAGGTGCGTTTGTATTTGAATATTTATGTATATTCACACAACAAAAAAATTAGCAGTCTAGTTATAAATCAATGTCTAAAGATGCACACGGCCCTAATTGGATGATAAACAGAAATTACTTTTAATGAGGAAGAGTTTCTATTTCGACCGCAAAATTACCAGAATCAGAAATAAATTCGTAAACCTAAAAATAACAATTTTTGGTAGTTATAAAAACAAAGTTACAAACTTAAGTTACCTAATTAATCCCTTAATATTCCAATTTACAAACTTTATTTAATTTTTTAATTTTTTGTGGAAACTCAGGAATGTCAAGCCCTGTCAAGCTCACCACTAACCACTATCGCAAATGTTTACGTAACCAATTTAAGGCATTCTGGGGGCACCATGCAAAGCAGATTCAGAGTTCGCTTAGTCGCATAAACAAAAGTGCCCGAAATGCGAAATTGTTTAGCAGTATAATTAGTGCACTCGATAGGGGGCGAAGGTGGGCGTGGCAGCAGGGAAAAGCGATGGAAACTTGGCCAGCCTTGGTACATTAATGATTGGGGAGAATTTCCAGTTTGCAACATTTTGCGGCAGTGGATTGTTTGGGCGGCCTAATGCGGTTATACGGAGAGTGCTTCCTGGCAACGAGATGAGAAACATGAAACACGATTGTATGGTAGCATGGGGTGCAAGAGAAGTTGATTATGCGTTGTTTTGGCACTTAATATGATGAAATATGCAAAGCACCATTAGTCTAGAAGGTGGTGGGCGGGATAGGATGGGAAGAGGGCTTACAACCTACAACAAAGATCTGCATGTTGCCACAGGCAACCACACTATCGACGCCACACCGCCTGCAGCGGTGAATTATGCAACAAGGTGCCCTTATCCGGGTGCAATTCCAAAGCAAACATTTCATTTCCAAGCTAAAAATTTTAAAATGAAAACTTCCTTTTTTCGCACTCTCAATTCCTAGCTTGCATACTTTTGAGCGCAGCTGGAAAATCATTTCACAAAAAAACAAAATTCGCAATGGAATCCATTTGGTTTTTATTTACCAATTCAGGGCAGAAAGCAAAAAGATATATTTGATTGAAAATGTTTCTTTCATATTATGGTTGAATGATATTTTTTGAGCCAATTCCATTTGAATTAGTTTAGACAGAGAGTGGCATGGCAGTGTGAACTATTTTCGCACATAATCAAGTGCAGCAACCAATTTACGACTAGAACAGACACATGTGTTCCCTCTGTGTTTATCTGTTTGGTTTTCATCTCATTCATTCAATGCACTGGCAGGCAGAGGGGCAATTAGCATGCAAAACAAGTCGAAGCAATGAATGCACATCTTACACACAGCCGCACACCCAAAGAACCCAAAACACCCACGCACACGACACCCGTGCTTGGCATTTATGCGAAAATGCATAAATATTACACAAACACAAAAGTAGTCCTGTGGGGTTAAATGTTCACAAACGCAGACAGTGTGTTACATTTATATCATATCTAGGAGGTATTCTTTGAAGCAAAATAATATTTATTATTGCTCTTATGAAAGACTCTATAAATATCAGGAACTATATTAATCAATATTAATCAAATATTAATATCTTATATAATAATATCTATATAATATAGATTACTAATATTAATCAAAACACCAAGGTATGATGTGTTTTTCAAACTAATCACTGAAAATACTCATAAGTACACACTTTATGACTCTTTGTATCTATTTTACATTCTATTCTGATAAATTATTCCATACTTTTTATATTTCTTTATTTTTGTATCTAAGAACAAATTTAATTTCTTTCAAAAAAATCTAAAAAGTCTTCCAAAGATTACTCTCCTAAAGTTATGAGTTGCAGCTTCAAAATATTGGTACCGGGCTATGCATATTTGTGCGGTTCTCCTCATTTAGAAACAATAGCAATAACAACAACGCCCAGTGCTGGGCAATAACAACAGCAGCAACATCAA